CCGTCTTTTTCTGGGAGCCAGAAAAGGGGGGAATGGGAGCAATTAAGGAAGAATTTTTCTTTCTCGTCACTAGTCCGTAACGGTCACTATGACGGTCACAAAGGAAGCCCGAAGAAGGAAAAGAGGCAACAGTATTACATACTTTTGTTGAAGTAGAATTCCCATTTTTGTTTGAATTTGGATGAACTGTTCAGCAACCTGTGAAAATAAAACAATATGTGATAATCCTTAGAGGGTGGGGGACGGGATTTCAATTGACATAACAACTTACAAGGCAGTGCTGCTGATATAGTGACATTGACTCTGGGAATGTTGGATCTGGTCGAATAGGCTGAAAGATAAAAATGATCTCCTAAAAACACTTATCCTCAAAACTTACATSATCTTTATCGAAGTACACTTTGACAGTTTGGAGTATCAAAGGCAATATGACGTCTTAGTTCACAGTCATTATTAGTATGTAGAACTAACCTGTAGGTCGGGAACCAGTAGCTCATATGCTGTACAGAGATATAAATAATCATTTTTCTGTGACTTCATACAGCTATCCATCCATCCCATCCATTTTTTTTGCTCATTCATCTATTCCGATGAAGGATCAACGTACGAAACGTCGGTTATTTCACCTACTTTCTACGGTGTTAAATTTATCTTTTTACACAACTGTTTCTTTAGAAACACCGACGCAGCTCACACTAGTTTACCGCTAGTTCCACACCATCTATTCCCTAATATTTATGCTCTCTCTCATCAATATACATTCAAATCAATATTCATTGCCATTTACTCATCCATCCATCCCTTCATCCAATCATTTCATTTACCTGGTGTACCAACTCTAACGTGTGGGAATGTCCCAGAAGGACTGGACACCGACCTAGGATACCCCGGAGGATGGCCAGACCACACATTGGGACGGGACGGCTCACTTAATTTGCGGTCAGGCGAGGGRCTTCCATCAGCTGGACTTGCACTTCCTGTTGACTTGTGYCGAGCTAAACAAAGTCATGAAATAATGGATAATATTATAGAGGAAAAGTGCAAGGCACTAAAACTGTGAAAGTAGTGATAAAATTGACAGCAAACTGAACACGACCTTGAAAAATCAGAGGGTTATTAAATACATCCTCGGCTGTGTTAATAACTGTATATTAAACCCAGTCAATACTTAAAAAGTTCAAATTAAATAAGTAATAATACGCAATTAAATWAATACCTGATTTCCCTGGTATTGTTGATAATTCATGCAATTTCAGGTCTTCTCGTAATGCTCTCTCAATCGATTCCACGTTAATATCTTCATTAGAATTGTTTAGTGTGGTGTTGTGATGAGACGGAGGGTATACTGGCATTCGTTCATTATCCAGGGGGATGTTCAGGGGGTAGTTTTCTCTTTGTACAGATTCAGATATATTAGGCATACTACCCCCCAATGCTGGATGTTGGTAGCCCATGTGACTGTCTACAGGAAGATAGCCCATTACGTTATGACCATAGTTCTCATTGCTGACAAAGTACCCTTGACTGTAAATAGGGTGTGCTTGGCTGGAAGGAAGGTATACTTGACTTGCTGGTCTTTGGTACTGACTTGTTGGAATATAACCCCCCTGACTAGTTGGTAAGTAACCTTGACTTACTGCTGGGTGGTTTATTGGTTGGTATGCCTGGCCACTTGGTGAATACCTTTGACCAGTTCCAGGGGGGTACCCTGAATAAGTTGGAGTATTACTAGGGTACCCTTGTGAAGTAGGAGGATATATAATACCCATGTTAGGGTTACCCCCTTGTATATATCCTTGGCTTGTTGGTGCACCCCCTTGCCATTGATTGACATCAATYGAAAGAGGGCTCTGGCTGGTAGTTCTTTTAGTAAATTGYTGGTCTTGTGGGCTTCCTGGTCTACCAGCATTTCCAGGTGAAGTCTTCTTGTCAGTGGAAGGTGAAGGAGTCTGTCTTGGTCTTGGACTGGCYAATAGTGAGGAGTCTTTSGTACCATTCTTTCCTGGGGAGGCTTCTCCTGGACTAAAAGAGGAAATTCCAGGAAGCATTCCWGGAAGTGGACTTCGAGCTCTGCCTATTTTGCCAAACAGTACAGTGTTATTTCCAACCACTGAACATTCYGGAGATTGAGGTGTGGCATTTATTTGAGGCAACAATACTGAAGACTTCTCATTGTTTTCAATTCTAGGTGTACTTGATTCTCCTTCCACCTCCTCTGGTTCAAAGTAGCCTTCTTGCCCATCTTCATCATCATCATCGTCGTCATCATCATCATCATTTGTATCATCTTTAGGTGGCTTGTTCATAATGACTGTATCACTAATATTGCTCCCCCCTGTAAAYGCATTTTCTTCTGTTTCTGGAGATGATGGTGGRAATACAAGGCAAGTGTCAGCACCAGGGAAAAACTGAAAAAAGAATGAAAACAAATGTGAAATGAATGAACAAGTGAATGAATAATAATGAGACACAATAAGAAAGAATGTTTAATGGACTTTTGAAATAATGAATGAAAATATGAATGAATGAGCAAATGAACAGAACGAAAATGAAATGAATAAAAAGCTTATGTCAATAATAAAGAAAAGACGTCAAACCTGCATTAGATGACTGAGGAAAACCACTATAGAGCTGAATGATGGTCTTTGCTTTGGATCTTTATCCCAACAGCTTGTCATGAGGTCTTCTATTGGTTTTGGGATGTCTTTAATCAATGGAGGCCTTTCACCTGAAAACACATTTGTTACATTTACCATTCCTGCTTCTAACACTACAATTGCTACAAAGTCATATSAATRTGTGATATGTGTCCTTACCGCCATGGACGGCCCACATGATACGGAATGCTGGCGCCCCTGCCATTTCTTCAAACGGCCTACGACGTGTTATCATCTCCCATAATATGATCCCAAAACTGTGATAAGAAATAATAATCTAGCTATCAGTAAACCATGAAGTATTCCTCCACTAAATAAGAATAATCTAGCTATCAGTAAACCATGAAGTACTCTTCCAATGAATAACAGTAATTATTACCTGTATACGTCACACTTTTCTGTGTAGTTTGTACCTGGAAAAGATGCATTATTAACCATATGTATTTGACTTTTTTATTGTCCACCGCTTCAATCAACAAACTGGTTAACTATAGACAAAGTTCYGCYGCCAGTACTCTTGCTCACAGAYTGCAGTCAKSTSAAAGAAATGTTGGTTTCAYTTAAAAAAGATTTTGATTGAACCATGTCTATTATTTCTCAGCAAATCTACCCTACAAGTAACATACCTTCAAAAACCTCAGGAGCCATCCAAGCTGCACTACCTTTGTTRTTTGTCATGTAMGTCCTTTGATCRCAAGCTGTACCAAAGTCACATATCTTGATAGCYGTACCACAYTTTGTCAATAACAAACTATAAATAAACAGTACAAAAGTCTGTCTTTTATAAACAACTTTACGAAACACTATTACAGAAGATAAAGTGGTCTCCCTGTTTCTGCTATTTCATGTTTGATTCAACTTTTAGAAATAGTTTGAACAGGGAGCTACAAAAGAGATTATTCTTTATTGTAATGAATTCTCAGTAYGTTTGATAAATCATGTACTTTCACTAGTTTATTGCTTACTTGGGAGGTTTTAGGTCACGGTGAATTATGGCTTTTGGTTTAAACCCATGAAGGTACTCYACACCTTTAGCACACTGCAATGCCCAGCTCATGACATGAGATACCGYGTAAATAGGTGCAGGGCTTGGTTTTGTCCAATGAAGCACTGAAACAGTAGTATTTAAACAACTTTAAAAATTGATTTAAACAAGACAATTCAACATTCAACTCACGGTTATAGAGGGAACCTCCTTCTGCATATTCCATCACTAGACAGACCTATGAACAAATTACATATGGATGGTCAATGAGATACATTTACATGTATTGAAAACAGAAGGCAAGGGAAAGAAATAAATGAATAACAAATAAATGAGGACGTGAGGAGCAGCAAAAACAAAAAAAGAAAAAACAAACAAACAAGAAGAAGAAAAAGAAAGACAAGAAGAAAAAAACCAACAACAAGGAAATAGGTTGTTATTCTGTTGCTTTGCTTCACGTTATCATTCAAACTGTTATTACAGCAATACTGCGTATAATTATACCCAATACAGGTTCTGCCCCTGAAYTGACWGATGGGATAGTTTGAGGATACATACAGGGTCCTGTGATATCACTGCTCCATAAAGCTTGATGATAGAYTCATGTTTGACTTTAGATAGCTGYTCAACCTCAACAAGAAACGCCTTCTTTTCRGCTTCTCCTTCAATGGTCTTGACTGCAACAATGAACTTTTCTCTCCATAGTGCTTTATAAACAACTCCAAATGCACCTCTACCAACATTCTAGAAACAATCATATTGTCTGAATAGTGCTGAATGGTATGCATTTTAGATTGTTTTGAGAAAAATGATACATATACAAAAGAAAAATGTTGATAGTCTATCCCCCTCTCCCTTAAAATTATTGGGAAAATGATATTTTAATTCTTGATGAAAAATAAATGAAGCTGATCTAAAATAAATGATGACAAAAGTTGGGGAAAGACTTTGGTCTTAATAAAAACTAAAAGATGGCAAACGACTAATAGTTTAGATGCAATAGTTTTGTCAATACAAACACTTAATACTAAAATAACAATTTGATGTTATTAAAGCTAAGTTATTTCGATAATGTCAACAATAACAAAGAGTGCCTATACGCAGTTTAAAGTGCAAAATTTAACTCCTCTAGACGAACATTATTCGATTAAAAAATAATAAGAGATCAATTAACTTACTTCGATAACTTGCAGCTCGCCAACCTCTATTTCTTCAACGAAATTAGGAGGTGAATCGGGCTGTAAATCGTCATCGTCTGCAGCCATAGTCGAATTGTCAATCGAACTGTTTTGTCGTTTTGTACGAATATGCAAAAGAAAGTTAAATCACAAAGCTCTACGATATTCTTTCACTGCATATGATCCATGCCTGGTGATGAAGAACAACTGACTTCGCAGCAGATCTCACAAGAAACCTTGTAGAATTTTTCTGCAAATAGGACAGCGAAACTGCTCGTCCTGTCCAAAGTTGTCGTGAACTTTCCCCTTCTTGGCTAAAATAGCGAGGAAAATTGCCCTTCCAGTTAATAAGAAAACTATCTGGTATATAGCTTTTGAAGCTGCRGCCTTCAGTAAGGGTTAACAAAACACAAGAACTATGTTTTCATCTCAAGTCCTTCATTACGTTACCGCCATATTGTTTTCCCCTTCCCTTGGTGGACTTCCCATGGTACAACGCAAGCCTACTGCTCATGCGCAAAGTATTCTAAGTGTCAAACTGACTTCGGTTTGTTGTACGAAGGTCTTGTACAAAATATCTTCTTATTTCACCGTWAWWGCAAGAGAAGGTAAAACAGAAATTGCTAGGAAGGTTYATTTGTAGTAGATCCTGCTTGTTATATATCGTTTTCTAYCAAAAGGCGTCATTTTTGAAGTGAAATTGCATTTCTTAATCAGCTGTTGTTCGTTGATTTCAGACAGAATTCAAAATTTCTTGTTGTATTTAGCTGGTTTGTAAAGTATCAATTATAAAATAAGACTTTTCAGACCTTTCATTGAAAAAACAATCAAAAACTAAATATGTCCATGGATTTTGTTGTAAATCGATTTTGGAACGTTTTTTGGCGCCAAAACAACTTTCAAGCTCATTAATTTATGAAAGGAATCCTGTGAAAGCTTTCTCTGTGCTAAAGCTTTAAATATAGATGTTATGTGGTAGTTTACAAGGCTCAGTATAAATCTAAATTGTTATTAATATGGCCAAGACCTTCTAAGATAGATTTGTAAAATAGATTGGGCGGGTGTATTGTAGTTGTGGTGTAATAGAATTATTTCATATACTATCAATACTTACGACTACACTATAACCAACAGCTGACAATATGAGTTGGAGTGAAATCTGTGAAAACACCAAAATGGGKCGAGAATACGCCTTATTGGGGAACTACGACACCGCTTTAGTCTATTACCAGGGCGTCATACAACAAATCCAGAAGCTTGTTGTCCAGATAAAGGAACCAGTCAGAAAGCAGAAGTGGCAAGAGGCCCGTCAGATGATTGTACAAGAATATGAACATGTAAAGGACATTAGTCAAACRCTGGCAAACTTYAAGAAAGATACAGTACAATATGGTGGGATGAGRCACGGYCATGAGGAACCTACTAGGGACCCTGATGTCTGGCCACCACCAACACCAGTTGAAAGGGACAATAGGTATTGACATAAAGATAGTTTACTTATATTATATTTTTYGGTTGGATTCACTAACTGATACCAAATCTCTGTATTGCACTGTCATTGAAGTATACCTTGTAAATAACTGCATTCACAATGTAGTACAAGGTGGTCAGCTTGTGCAGTTTAAAAATCAAATTTGCACCAGTTTTAGTTTTACATTTATCTTGCTTCAGTTTAATTTATTTATTTATTAACTTCCGCCATTGGAGTGGGTTACACAACAGGGCGGGGCCCCAAATAAAGTTTGCCCATACTTACAACATGTAACCTTGACATAAAGCATTGAAAAACCCAATCAATTTTATATCTAAAATAGTAATACTTTCTTTGTAACAAAGCTCTGCTATTAGAATGATTATACCAGTTCTTTAAAATGGGTATTGTGGAGGCATTACACAGGCATCCCAACCTTCAKTTCTTCTCAATATTTCTCATTATTGTGTGGTATATTTAGACCAGCAAAGCATGTCCCACGGCCTGTGGTCAAGAAGTCTGATGATAATCCTCCTCCATACCGTCATGCAGCTCCAAGCAGACGACCTGAGAAACCAGTAGATAGAGGAGTACGTAAGCCTGCAAATCCAAGCAGTAAGCCGTCGAGGGACAACCGAAGGGATGCTGGGAAGGGTAACCAAGGTAAAGGAGACAAAGAAAAAGGAAAGAAAGATGATAAATCACAGGTATATTATAATAAATTATTGAAAAATTATTGTCATAGAAAATAGGACATTTGTATTTTAGTAAAAAGGAGTAAATTAAAAAGACAAAAGAAGATCACAGAGGCTGAACGCTCTCTTTTGTCTTGTTTGAATTTATTCCTTTTTACTAAATTCAAATGTTGTATTTTCTATGACAACATTTCTGCAAGTAGGTGTATATGTAAATCATACTTTTAGTTATCTCTTTGCAGGGTCAGATAATGTCATAATGTTATTTTTAGTTTATGTTTGTTGTTTTTTTGCTATCTAATGTCATGTATGTAGTTTACTGGGCTAATGAGATTTTGTCTTTAGGATCCAGAGAACCCAGATGAGAAGAAGTTTGATGGCGGAGGAATGGATAAAGACCTTGTTGAAGCTTTAGAACGAGATATTCTTCAACGTAACCCAAATGTACACTGGTAAGAAAGCTTGAAAACAAACAACTAAGCCACCTGATGCTTTACAAGGCTTTTTTAATCATCATTATAATTCTCAAGAAAATTATCATTATCATCATCATTATCTTCATGCTTGTCATTCAATAGGTCTGATATTGCCGACCTCTCTGAGGCTAAAAAACTCTTAGAAGAAGCTGTGGTCCTACCAATCCTTATGCCTGAGTACTTTACAGGTATCCGCAGACCTTGGAAGGTAAGAAGTAATTACTGTCGTCATTCAATCACCATAGCATTACACAATGGGCTCATAATAATCTCATTAATGTCTCAATAGGGAGTTATGATGGTTGGTCCTCCAGGAACTGGGAAGACAATGCTGGCCAAAGCAGTCGCAACAGAGTGTAAAACAACATTCTTTAATGTATCATCGTCTACACTAACATCAAAGTACAGAGGAGAATCTGAAAAACTAGTCAGAATCCTATTTGAGATGGTAAGATGTGCAATGTAATATGTCATTATGTATCATTATCATGACATTTGAATGGTTTCCTTTCCAGGCACGATTCTATGCTCCTAGTACCATATTCATTGATGAGATAGATTCTATATGCAGTCGCCGTGGTACTGACAGCGAACATGAAGCAAGTCGYCGTGTCAAATCAGAATTATTGATACAGATGGATGGTAATATTAAAATATTTTAGTTTTTAACTATTAATGCTGGTCTAACAAAGAATCCATGGTGTTGTTTCAGGTGTTGGTGGCGCAGCTGATGGCTCAGAGAGCTCTAAGAATGTCATGGTTCTAGCAGCCACTAACTTTCCTTGGGACATTGATGAAGCTTTACGCCGTAGATTGGAAAAGAGAATCTACATTCCTCTCCCTACAAGTGGGTTTTTAATTTTCTTTCAATTTTTTTTAAATTTTCATTTCTTTATTAATATATGTTATGTTTTTCTCCCATTTTTCCCATTTCCCATTTATTCAAGAGTTCTATTCTCATTTTCTTCAGAGGAAGGAAGACTTGAATTACTCAAGATAAACCTGCGTGGTGTCAACATGTCTGATGACGTCGTGCTTGARGAAGTAGCTGATAAATTAGATGGATACAGCGGTGCTGATATAACTAATGTCTGCAGGTATTTATTGTACATYATCATCATGTATTTTAAGGCCTCTGATTAGAGTTTCCTGGTGCCGTAAAAAAYTCATTCCTCAAATGACTGCTGACCCAAGTTGCATGAGAAGGTTTTTCAACACTGTGATGACTTAGCCTYYTSTGYAGGCATCACAAAGAATCATGGGCTTCCTGTCTTTTTTGGGAGTCAAAAGAGGGAGAATGGGGGCGAGAAAAGRRGACTAGTCACTAGTCCCTAACGGCCATTATGACCRTTACAAAGGAAGCCCAAAGGAGGAAAAAAGAGTTGCCTGGGGAGGAGTCTAGTGATGACTATTTTCTTTCTTATCAAGGGATGCGTCAATGATGGCTATGCGAAGAMGAATCAGTGGATTGACACCTGAGCAAATCCGTAACCTCCCGAAGGAGGAGCTGGATCTKCCAGTCAACATGGAAGATTTTACACTGGCATTAAAGAAGGTCTCCAAGTCAGTTTCTGATGCAGATATCAAGAAATATCTAGAATGGATGGAGGAATTTGGAGCCAACTAGTATGTGATTAAAATCTAGGTTCTTCTTTTATTTAATTTGGAGGATGATTTGAGTACTGGTCAAAATAGGTTGAGATCAAAAACGTAATTCTCCGTATAAATCCCTTTTTGAWTGCTAGATAATGTGAATCTTTGATTAAAAGCTTGATTCTCCTTACTGATACCTTAACTTTGGAGGAGAACATGAGTTTTGATTAAAGGATTTTTACCAGTTAGCATCTTCATGTATGTTATACAAATGTAGGTAGCCAGTCAATAATCAGAGTTATTGCACRGCAAGCAACCAATGAGTGACCGTTATTTCATTAATAGCATGTTTCAATAATTTAAAACGAGTGGYTGGAAATTGAAAAAAATAAAATTTATCAATGTGTTTGATTTCTTAATTTATTTTGAAAACTCAACATAATATATCCTATATTTATTGAATAATATTATATTATACCCTGGGACGTTTGTTTCTTTCTTTAATTTATGCCGATAACTTTACTGGATAAGTTTCATAGATGTCATAGATGGGAGCAATTAATTTCGTTGTCTTGCATCTTTACAAATGTAAATCAAGYTTAGTTCCTCTTTCCACCAAAATAAAGTTGACTACTTTCAAGYTAATTTTGAGCGTCTTTGTTCAACATTTCCCAGATTTTATTCTATCGCTTTTTTTCAGTTTAACCACAGAACTAAGGTTTCACTTCAAATATAGGCCTTTTATAGGTCTTTCTGGCTTTAATCTGTCATATTTTCCACTAAAGAATTGTACATTTATCTTTCTTGGGTTTCGCTTGTATTTGACCATCTCTCTTTCGTTGTATACATTCACTAATGACATCTTTCATAAGTTGTTCGTACAGTAGAGTGTTGAATTCTGTTAACTGAGTGAGTCTGTCAAATGCTTCGTTAGGATAATGGAAGTTAAAAGTACTGTAGTGYTTCTTGGGATCCTCGAAGATTGAGAAATCGCCTGCTGATATTTCATCGTCTGTCCTTTGGACGCCTGTCAAACGAGAACAATCCATTCTTAAAACAGAATCTCATTGTCGCAGGCAAAGGAAAGGGACGAACGCGCGGCGAAGGAGAGGGACGAACACGCGGCGAAGGAGAGGAAGGGAAAGAAAGAATGCGGTAAAGTGCATGGAGGGAACACGCGCGTGAGTTTGAAYAAATATCTGTGTCGCACCGACAGGAAGAGAACAATGACTCACGAGCAGTGTTTGTGTCATGGGAGGGGAGGGTACACGGTTACCTGGTTTGCTGTATTCTTTAAACGTCTTGTTTATTAGAACAAAGTGAATAACGACAGGACATGAAGGATCCGTGGGATGTTTGAACACATAGCATTCCTTGGGGCCGTCTTTTTCAAGCTGCTCTAAGGCGTTGATTGGTGGGAATGGATAATTGTTCTTTCTCGCCCATTCCTCAGACAGAAGCAACTCCTACAAACGCACATAGATGAGAAGTATTGAAATCACGTGCACATCACATGGTCACATTACCTTAAAAGGCTCTTCATCGTCCTTATCACGTGCGCTAAAGTCAAAGGATAGAAATAAATCTACCCCCCTCTGTGGCCGTAGTAGAACTGGATATGGGGAATTGAGCACCAGGCCACTATCGACCAGAAATATCCTCTTGGTCTCGGTGACTAGTTCGCTCTCTACATTGTCGACTTGATCAGCTACAGAAAAARGTATATGATCATGGATTAGGGAGTGATAATGATGATCGCGACAATGATGCTGATGATGACACTAGTAATGATGACAGCTGTCAGTTTCACAATCTTATAGGAACCCACTGACCAGTAAATACCTTCGGATATCTCTAGCCCTCGTAAAAAGTTGTGCACCAATCCTGCTCGTCCCTGCCTCGTGCGGAAAACCTCGAACTTGTTGATAACTTTATCTACAATGTCCACAAACTTGTCAGCATCTGTAGCACCTTCTTCCGACTCAACAGGACCTGCGTCTTCTTTCTCCTCGCCATTATGGCCATTCTTCTGGTCGTGCGTGGAATCTTCATCACTATCGTCACTGCTCTTGTTGTATTTATCAATCTCTTCTGAGGCAACCATATCCTCTGAAAATGTAATATTCTTAATTCACTATTTATCAAATTTGGTGGACAGATTTTGAAATTTGATCTCGCATGGTCAAGATAACTTTGTTTCATACTTCAAAGAGGAAACTGTTCATACGTACCCATTTGCTTACGTACTTCTCCTCTGTTCTCGACATCCGTGACGACTTCTTCTGGTTCTTTCAGACCTTCACGTACGACTTGCTGAAGTAAAATGGTAAACGCGCTTCCCCAGATGCCTACATCAACAAAACACTGAAACCTTCAATCTCTACGTAGCTTTACCACATTTTATCATGAATTAACCGCTCATAAAACGTGCGTAAAGCAGAAAAAATAGGCGAGGGAACGATACCTTGTAAATACGACAATTCAGGCTCATCAAATTTCTTCAATACTCGCCCACTGAAAAATTTGCAGCCAAACAGCTCCGTCTTCATGAACGTACCATATTTAGGGAAACCAGTTTCATACGGTGAAAATTCAAGCCATTCTAAAATAGAAACATAACGTAGTTGGGTTACTGAAWTATTATGTGGTACAGTACTTTCTTTACGTTAACGCAAGGGAGACGTAATATTCACTATTCAGACGTAAAACTGCATTACTGAATTCATTCAAAGCACCGCACACATCCAATGTTTTACTTACCACAAAACGCATGAGCCGATACGTCTTTCTTTACGTTTACGCAAGTGTAAAGTGGAAACGGGACGGTAGCGTAATTTAGCTTGTCTTTTTGATTGCTCAGCTTTGGTGGTTGACGCTAATTAAATGAAATTTAAACTAGATTAAGAATTCATTGCCTCATATTGCCAATATTTTCATGAACAACTCAGATATACCTTCGGAAAGCTTTCTCAGATATTTATACTAAAAAATCCTCCCTCCTCCCTCCCCCCAGAGGAAAGCGCTTACCCCTTTGATAATAGTCTCTCCCACAAGGTAACCAAACACGTCGGTAAAGCTGACGGGCTGTCCATTCTTCTTCTTCTTGTTTATCAATTGCATATGTTTGTAAACCCACTTCGGCTTCACGAGTTGCCAGATCATATTTTCTTTGAGATTCTCTCGAAGCTCTTCCAAGATAACTCGTGGATGTACTGTAGGCCAGTCGGGATGCGAATAAAGGCAAGAGAGGTACCTGCAATGTTAAGTGCGTTAACAACATGATTAACATATGTGATATTTTAGAATTCACCTACCAAGCTGATCCTGATAATCCAGCGAAGTATGTTATGCAATCAAGTAGCTTTGTATCAGTCAATGCGCAAAGTACTCCACTCATTGACGTCATAGCTCGAAAACCTCCCCCTGATCCTAGTAACGCTATAGTAGGAACCTGGGGGAACACAAATCAACATTGCGGTTAGCTTTATTTACACAAAAGATGCCTGACACTCCTGCTTTAATGTGATTGGTGTTGATGAAATGAATTACCTCTGAAACATTTGTTGGACCTTTGTCTCCTAACAACTCCTGCAACACTTCAAGTACTTTTTCTTTCCTCTTTGTTAAGAACTCTATTTCCTCCTCGCATAGCTCCTGACTGAATCTAAGATCACCAGAATCAGGGCTGTGAAAACAAAGAGTAAGTTAGTCTCACTACTGCAACGATTTTAGTGACTACTCAGGAGTTGTGGTTGTACCGCAATAACCTACCATAGCTTATGACAACAATATCACTACCAACAGCATCATTATAACCCAATCAACACATATAAAACTAACAACAAAACCCATGATATCRTAAGAAAAAATAATAAAAACTTACCATTTACTAAGTTTCATTTCAACGTCAACTTTAGAAGTCTAAATAGAAACAAATAAAACCTGCTTTATCATCAATATGGATACCATGCAGATCTGTTATCTATCATTGCRCAAGTGTTTAACGAGTTTRTTRGGAAGCACAMGTGTACGATTATAACACGATTCATAGTGRTTTTTACCTCTCCAAACTTGAACGTCTGTTCGCAAAGAACATYGATCTCCAAATCGTTGATCCTAAATGTATGTGTATCTAGAACATCGTCGCTGACAAGGTCTGATTCCATRAGGGTTATCTCTATGGAAACAGCAATCATTATATCACCATAGCAATGATGTGACTTWASARCCGTCCCAGGCAACCTTACCTTTTATTTCCTGTTTTGAGACAAAATTTTGACTAACAGAGGGTAGAGAGGGGGAGTTGGTCTCTGTTCATTAGGCATACACAGACATCTCGCGCTTACCTAAAACATTTTCTTTGTTAGGATCAAGATAGAACGTAAACGTTTCATTCCATTCAGGGTTCTTGCTGTTGTTGACGACTTTCGTTTGCGCTTTACCGCTAGGTGCTGACGGAATACGCAGACGTACGTAAGGATCCGGTGTGTCAACTAGAATGCACAAAATAACATGATTAATCCGTCAATAACGCGTTGAAGTGACGCTTGCTTGATGCGTATGGATCGATCACGTCCAAGAAATACTGACGGATACGTAATATAGATGGGTCTTTGCGTAAACGTGTCTTTTAAGACCTGTTATTACAAATTGACTGGACCAGTAAGATAAGTCGTAACAAAGATTATTCGCTAATCCAGAGCTATAAAAAATAACATACGTAGCTTTTATGCAATTAATGTTATAGTTCAGTTTAGAATAGAGAGATTGTATATGACACTAATTAGACAACATAAAAAGAAAAATAATAATAATATGTAAGCTTCTATAGGATGTATACAGCTTTCTCTAAGCGCTTTAAATAAAAGGTAAAAATAAAAATGTCCAACCATTGTAAAACACATGGGAAATATGCAGGCAAAGGAAAATGATACTTTACTAAAGACAGGTCAGCATGCAGTCTGAAAGGGTATACAGTATAACGTAAGTCAGTCTTACTATAATCGGCAACTTTTCCTTTGCTGATGTCCCTTCCACGAAGTACGGTGATTTCGAAAGACAAACAGGTCTTGTAAGATGCCTGTAAGAAAAACAAGGCAGGAGTGGCAGGAGTGTACAAACAATTTGTGAGAAAAAAAGGTTGGACGCCCGAATGAAAGGAATTTACTGAAATGCGATAAAGAAATCAAGAACAAGAAATAAAGATGACACTGAAGAAGCAAAAAAATGGTTAAATCAAGAAAGGGGAAAACAAGGAAATAGAAATGCGAAAAAAAGGAAACAGTAAATGTGAAAATGAAATAATGAAAGACGAATAAAAAAGAAAAGATGAAATGGAAAAATAAGAAAGGGAATAAAATATAAGAAAGAAGTTGTTAAGTGAATGTCCAAAGTGACATTAAGCATTTTAAGTAATAAGGCTAATAAGGAAACGAGCTGCAGGATGACATTCCACAGAATGAGAATCCAACAGAAAATGCTCAGCCACTTAGTCTTACCACAAGATCACCTCGCATGAAAGATCGTTTTTTATCAATAGGCATGATGGTAAAGGAACACACTTCAACCCAAACCGCAAATCTTTGTCCTGTTTTCTTGAGATTTTATTTAAAATTTAATAATCATTTCAAGTGCATTTGTTGTTGATGTAAAAGCCTGGAGTTGTGTTTTGAATATGAATGTACTAAATTATAACATTTGTTCGGTCAAAGGGTCTTTGAACAGTCAATGGGAACTTCTTGAGCTGAAAATATACACTGGTTTTAAAACTGTTTCAGCGATGAGGCAGATGTTCCCCAGATATTCAAATTCTTCAGTTTGATCATTTCATATTCAAAAAGGATTGTTTTAGATAGCATAACAAAGCAAAATCATTTATTTTGCCATTTTCTGTTGGTAGATTCTCTCATAAATTGTTTTTCATTAGTAAGAAATGAATTTTTTTATAGTTGGAAAAAATACAGACTAAACGCTGGGTTCTACTAGTAAATGTCGTTATCATTCAATTTTCTATTAGTATAAAACTACCACTTGATGTGTCAGAGATGTTATACATAAAATCCCTTTTCATATCTATTTAGTATTTGGGAATGACTGCTGTTTAGGGAAGAGAATATTGAATCATAAAGTCACCCACTAGAAAACGTTGTGTATATTTTTTTGATCAAGAAGTGAAAGCTAAGATGAGTAAATGTCAATATAGTGTTTTCCTCTCACTGCACATTAACAATCGCAATTTATTGAACCTTATTAGAAGATGTTTTTCGCCTACAGTCGTTTTCATAGAGAGACATGGGAGATCTCTCAAACCAAAGCTCGAAGACCATTGAATCTGTGTAACTCTGACTGCTAATCGTGAGAGTCAAGATTTTGACGGCTTCCTTGGGGATGAATGATTGTCCTTCTCGATCATAGAAGCTCAGAGATTAATAGCTCAAATATTTAAGCCTCTACGTTATAGCGACACAACTTCAATTTAAAGCTACTCATAAGGTAGTGTTATTTTTGTCCAATAAAACGAAAAAAATTGAGCGGCAAAGGAAAGCAATGTAATGACGCAAGTAAATGAAAAAGTGGACGAATTCCGGTCAATATTGGAGTTAGAAAATGCACTACAATTTCAAATATTTGCTAAATTTACCTGTAATGTAGACATATTGTCACTGCTTCTCGTTATAAGGCTAAGTTAGGTCTTTCAACTTCGGAAATTGGTCGCAATTTCCGACCAAGAACCGAACGGTGATGGAAAGCTGGCGCCGGTGGCATCTGAGTTACTGAAATGACTGGTATCTTGATTTATATTACTGTCAGACTTCCATTACGCAATAAGTTTATGGTCGATAATACTCGCAGAACCAGTTGATATAAATTTTTAATGAATGCAGAAATACGGGCTGAAGAAACTGGGCTCCAACTGAGATAAAAAGTCAACATTTTAAGAATACAAATAAAAAGGTCGAAGCGAAGATAATTATACAATTTGAAAGAAAGTTGGTGGTTTTTCCCTTCATTTTAGTAATGGGATTTTAGTGAGTTTGTAGCAGTAGTGATTTTTAAGTGTTTTTTTTTTCTTGCGCGCATATACATTTTAGAGCCACATACTAATAGCTTTTCAGGGTTTTTATAATAGATAGGCATTAGTCACTCGTTGTTCAATTAAATTCTACGGACAATGTGATTGAAAGGAGCCTGAATCTTATGTGGTAATTTTTACCCAAATTTTATAACAATTCAGTCTCACCTGAAAGTGATTTTTAGGAAAATTCAGGATTAAATTCTTGTGCAAAATTACAACTTTGTCATTTGAAAAAATTGTAACTTTTCTGGCTTCAAAAATCGCATTTTTACAGCTAGGGTTAGGGAACGGTATATTTCATATCTCATATGCCACGGGCAAAAAGAGTGTCTTAACACAGGAAGCCCGCGCATATGGAATTTCCTAATCGTACGTTTTCATTGACAAAATGAGAGTCGAAACTCCTATTATTAAAAAGTGTACAATAAAAATCTGTTATATTAGTAAGGTTTATAATATTACTGAAGCTTAAACCATAAGATGAGATGTATTTGGGTTCTTGTGAATAGAACTTTGTATTTTGTTACTTTTTTCTTTTGATCAATGTAAATTTCATTTTTGAGAACAAGTGAAAAATAAAGTTAAGAATATAAACTACTAGTATATCTCAGTTTCATACATTTAACTTTGAATAACAAACTAGTACTTTATAAATATGTAAAATAAAACACAGTGAATCATGAGTAGCCCGGTTAGCTCAGTCGGTAGAGCATCAGACTTTTAATCTGAGGGTCATGGGTTCAAGTCCCATATCGGGCGGCTTAATACTTTTTCCTTTTTTATTTCGATTTCTTTTATTATTATTTTTCTTCATTACTTTAATCTATCGTAAATAAGTGCTAAATTTTAAAAAAATGTTTGCGCTATTTTGATTATTGAAAAATTTGGATATAGATATTTTAATTTTGTTGGTTATTTACATCAAATAAGCACGTGTATCTCGAGAATAATAAATTTGACGCAGGTGTTGCTTTGAAAGAACACCACCTTCTTTACACAAAGAATATAGTCTATAATACCGATTACTGTAGCAGTTTTTTATTCAACACACAGCTGAAACCTTGTTATTCAAAAGAAGAAGCCAATTGGTTAAAGAACAATACTATTGTTCAAATTGACCAATCAGACTTGAGCATATTGCCGGGGTGTTCGAAGAGAATTATTGGAAATCATTCTTCTCACTTTTTTGTCAAAATGGCTGCGAGCCCAACTTTAGAAGGAGAAAATGAAGTTTACATGCGAAAACTTGAGGTTATACAAGACATAAGGTAAAATTTAGTTAGTTAAACAAGTACGCTTAACTTATTTTAACCCGCCGACATTTGATCCATGTAAAGATGCTCACATAAACTTATATGATCTCTTTCATGTTCACGCATTTCCCAAATTCATCTGCAATGTTCAAAAGTATTATTTCCGATATTTACGAAATTTCTTCACTAAAACGATAGAAAACTGAACAGAAGTTGTTCTCACTAGCTAAAGCAAAGTTTTGAATTTCGCTGTTAGGGCTAATTTCCCTAAACACGCTTGTCTTTTTGAACGTCTCTAACAAAGACGATTGAAGAATAACAGTGAAATCGATTAGCCTAAATTTCCTCAACTCAAACGCTCTCGGCTTGTATTGATTTGTTAACTCATCTTTGTAATTCGATACTATCTTTTTTAATGAATCTAACCAGAAAATCTAAATTCTTGTAGCAAGAAAGATGTTAGAATTTACTTTCAAGCAATCAACAATGTTTATCTTTTTTCAAGCAGATGTTCAACACGATTTGTAAAGAAAGTGCACACATTTACGATAAATATGTATTTTAGTTAAGTATAAAGCCACCATGATGCAAAACAAATGTCTTGTTGTATTTTAGTTTATTCTTGATTTAATTTCATTTGAAAAAGTTTTTTTTTTTCGCCGCTTGGGTATACCCTGACTTAGTTTAATTTTGTAAAACAATGGTCCACCTGCGGCTTGCAAATCTATCACACCAACCTAATTATAAATCACTATTCACGAAAAAGTATGTTAAGCTTCCAAGTTACTCTCCTTTCAAAGAAATTAAACGTTAAAATTTATATTTTGAGCGTAAATTTCTTAAAATAAGTAAATGGATTTGATTTCATTATAGTTTGGCTTGAAACAATGAACAAAGAAAATACGGAAATACTCTATCTGTGTGCTTGATCAAAACAATTAAAAGAAACGTTTCTCTCTTGCGCATTTTGTTATTTCATTCTATGGTAAACCCGCCTGTTTAAATTTGTATCTTAATGGATGAATGAATTATTGTTGGAGTAAATTTTCACATGACAAAAAGAATAAGAAGAAAAAAGAATAAGAAGTGAGAGAGCGAGAGAAAAAAACAAAACAAAAACAAAAAACAAACAGAAAAAAAAGAAAGAAAAAAAATAATTAAATGCACTTACGATATTTGGTGCAATGTATATCTAAAACCCATCGGCGATACCTAAAATGTCAAGAAGTTTTTCTTTGACCTAATTACCATGAAAAATGTTTTGAGTGATGATATAAATAATATAATTATGTCTTATTCATAAAATTATTATATTATTATATATAATTATATTGTATTCATAAAAATCTGCCAACAATGCTAGGTTTAAAAATAAAAACAAATTTTCCAAGCTCTTCAAGAAGAGCACACAACAATGAGTCATTTTTTTCATGTTTTTTTACCCTTTACAAAATCTTACAATTACTTTTTTATTAGAAATTTCTCTCTCTCAGATAGTTGTTCACGATATTACTTGTTGATTTGTAAACAGAGCAAGAAGCTCTCAGCTGGAGAAATTAAGAGGTCAACTACTAAAAGAGCTAGAAGCAGCAGAAAGAGAGGAGAGGTTGGTAAAGGATTACAAGGCAGAAATGGAGGCTCTTCTTCATGAAAAGATGGCACATGTTGAAGAACTTAGACTGATACATGCTGATATCAACCTGGTTAGTTTAGGTGTAAAGTACAATTCAAATAATATTGCTGATAATGCCTTGCTTTTTATGTTATCACCCAGTTCAAGGCCTTGATGAGAAAGAACTAAACTAAAGGGAACATAAGGAAAAATATATTCCCAATATATTGATCTTGGTGGAAAATATAGACACACATTGTCAAACTTGACAATACCATTTAAAAGTTTTATCTTTATCACAAATGAAATACATTTATGAAATCCCAAAAATGTTTTCTAAAACTAAATATGTTTCTAGATGGAGAACACGATAAAGCAGTCAGAAGCTGAAAGAGAAAGAGGCTTTGATGTGATTCGTAGACTTCATGATGACTATAAACCACTCCGTATGGAAGTTGACAGAATGCGTTTGTCTCTTGGTCTTGAACAGCTGCCAGCCATGGAGGAAGAGGAAGCCATAGCACAGTAAGTAACCACATATGGTAAATAATGTCTGTACGCCTGTCGCATCTAATGAATATCCTTTTCTTCCTACAGTAGGTTAGTGGAGAGAGTTCCATCGGCATGGAAACCAGAGCCACAAGAACCCCCACCACCACCAGTAGCTCAACAACTTGCTGCCGCTGCAGCTGCTGCCCATCAACTTGTCAACAAACGAGGGCCATCAGGAGAAAGACACTTCCGTCAACAACAGCCTCCACCGATGAAAGCTTGCTTGTCTTGCCATCAACAAATACATCGAAATGCTCCCATATGTCCATTGTGTAAGGCCAAAAGCAGGTCAAGGCATCCAAAGAAGACTAAGCGTAAACTGGACGAGTGATCCTTGGCTAATGTTTGTGGAAGAAGTAACAAACTCTTCTGAGAAATAGTGACAAGATTATATCTTATGCAAGCGATTTTCTGGTTCACCTTATTTATGGTCATGTAGCCTGCATAGCTGGCCCTTTTAAGAGGGGCCTGGATCAACAATTTATTATGGTGTAGAAGTTATCTCTGTTAACATATTGATGTTGATGTGTCAAATGATTTCAACCATTTTCTAGGTGTTGTCAGTGACATCAAATATACAATTTTTGCTTTGTACAAAACATGAAAAATCTCCCCCACCCTCCCCCTCACATGAAAATGCTGAATGCATGACTTTCCAAACTCTGGTTCAGTGACCATGAACAAAGCATTGAACCGAGACGTCAAGGAACACTGATCACAGATCTTTTCTTTTATGGTCACTGAACCTGCGTATGGAAAGTCGTGAATAGCAATCCAGCAAATTTTGTTTCATTGGTTGTTTTTGATGGTTGACTTAAGGGTTATATCATATAGTTATATTATATAGTAGTCAAGTCTTCATACCTAATCCACTTAACACTGATAAAACGCGTTTTATACTATAACTGTGATTATTACAGCTTAAATTCATATTAGCAGTATAAATGTGATGTTATATTTATTGTTTAGTACAAGGTGAAATTCATTCCTCTGAGTTATATATAGTAATATTCACTGTGGTTGTCCAATATTTATTTAATATTATTAAATATGTTTAAAAGGAATTAATAAAGCAGATATATGTCTAATGAGTGCATATTGCATTAAAATCATAATAAAATTAAATTCAAAACTCTACTTTGGTATACATTTTTATTGAAGACAAAATAACATTAACGTACAACTTTGGGCTTTATGTGTTGTCTACAATAGTGGTTTTCCATCTTCTGTATAGCAAAAGAATGCCAAAACTAATGTGTTATCTTTTGTTCAAGTTAATTACCAGCACAAACCAAAATGTTTTTTCACAGATGATGGAAAATCACTTGGAAATATGTGTTATCTTTTGTTCAAGTTAATTACCAGCACAAACCAAAATGTTTTTTCACAGATGATGGAAAATCACTTGGAAATATTTCAGATTTGATAACTCTGATATAAAATCCAAATTCTCTTTTAATAACTAAATCTAAATGTAACTTTGAAACATTGAAGATTAATATATATTGGCATTTGTCAGTAAGTGATGGTTTCACTTAGGAAACACAACAGTCTGATTTGCTCTGACTGAAAACAAATAGGAAACAAACGAGAACACAAAGGGATGGATATCATTTTGAGCATCAATAAATATTATTCAGACAAAGGAACAAGCTTTCCTATAGTCTTACTTAAGCCCCAAATGACAAGTTTCAAGAATCAGCTGTAGTGAATGATGTCTCTCCTTCCTTTCAGTTCATTCCACCATTCATTTCCATTCTCTTCCCATTCAGTCTTCCTTCAAGCCTAGAGCCCTAAGTCGTTCTATAAGAGGTGGATGGGAGTAGTGATAAGCAGAATAAAGCTTATCTGCAATAGGAAAGCCAAGGTTGTCTGCGTTAAGTTTGATCAGTGATGACTTCAGATGTGCAGCAAATCCAAGTTGTTTAGCAAAGGCATCGGCTTGGAACTCAAAGCGCCTACTAAGTATTGTCATCAAAAAACCAAGAAGCTACATAAAAAGAAATTAAAGTTTAATTTCCGTGCCCTCCTATCAAAAGAAAGGTGGACAGAGCTACAGATAGAGGGCTGACTGACATTTCAGAAATTGGTCTTCCAATGAAAGAATGTCATCCAAAATGTCAGACCTTCATAACGGCCAATTCATGGAAAACCGAGAAAGTTTGTTTTGTGGGGTAAAAATTCAATCCCTAAAATCCAGGAAAGTTTGTTGAAAGGGTTAAGCATATATAATGGATGGGCTGCCTGTGTCCATAGTCTTACCTCATTGTATGGCGAAAATATGAACTGGAAGATGATAATTAAACCAATAAGGACTGGTTTGGAATGGAAGAAACCAAAACTCTCAAACAGAACTTTTTGGTGCATCAGTATTCCAAACATGAGAAAACAGAACAGGGTATTGACCTAAAAAAATATAAAAATCACATGAACTGGATGGATGAATAAATGAGTAAGAAAGTGAATGAATAAGTGGATGGAAGAATAAGGAGATTGACAAACTGATTGGATATGTGAAATAGATAAATGAATGAATGTTTTTATAATGAAGGAAATGATGGATCACCTGTGATATGCAAAGGTTCTTCAGGTTGTGGCTCAGCTTCCAGTGTCCTAATTCATGACCTAAAACTGCTAGAACCTCCTCATTTGAACAGCCCTTTTGCTTAGGTTTAGTGTCTTCTGAGTCTTCAGTTGTTTCTGGAATCTGTTTTGAAAATAGAATGATGCTGCAAGCTCAAGAATTGGATACTGATAATATAATTTTCAGTGCTCACTACATGCATTGACATTAGCATATAATTATAATCTATTATAAAAATCATGACCACTGCAAATGTGACAATTTTATTTCAAAAGGGTTAACACAAATAGACAAATGGTACAGACAAGTTTTTCTGACTTTAATACAACAAACATCATCATCACTACTCACTGTTGTAGGTTCATCAGTCTTATCTCCTTCTTTGTCATCAGTTTTCTTGTTCTTATCCTCAGTTTGTTTTTCATTATCATCATCATTTCTCACTTTTTCAGGTTCATCAATCTTCTCTCCTTCTTTGTCATCAGTTTTGTTGTTCTCCTCCTTAGTTTGGTCTTTCTTGATGGGACTGTCAGCCAACAATGTATCAAAGAGAACTATTTTCTTGCTTTTATAGAACCCATAGAAGTAAGCATTGCTGTGGGATGACCTGAAGGTATAATATTATATATTAACATGATTATAATCACAACTACATCACATGTTATTATCTTCATCATTAACATCATCATGATCGTTGTACCTTTTTGATCCTTCCACTACTAGTAGCTTAGTTAAAGGGAAGTCTATACTGGCAGCAAGCTTCTCAATTGATGTTCTTAAAGAACCATCTGGTAATGAAGTAAACTTGTCAAAGAAAGGAGCAATGTAGTCCAAATAGATAGTCACTACAAGCTGGTGAGATATAAAGAAACTTTTGGGATTCCTGTGTAAAATGGTGTTATGGAATAAAACATGCTGACTTACCAATGTCACCACAACTGTGAATAGCCAGGCATAAACAAAGAAGTATTGTCCTCCCCATTTAATTATAAATATAAGTCCTGCTGTTATAGGTAATAAAATTGCAACCATGACTATCAGTTTCTTGATTGTATCTTTGATGTAGAATCCTAGAGTCTGAAAAGAGTTCACAATGTTGATACATGATAGTTCCATTACTGGTCATTACTGGTCTAACCTGTTTATTAAAGCCATGTCTTTCCTCAACCACAAAAGTTGAGTATAGACTCCATGGTAGATCAGTCACAGTGCTGAATAAAACAGCACATACTAAGAATATCATAGAGTGGAGAATCTAGAGCAAACAAAACATACATAAGAGAGGGTGGTAGGAAAATGTCATCACACAGGAAGCCCAAATGATATACAGGCTAAAGGCAGTTTCAGTTATATTATATCAATATGGACCTGTGCATGAATTCCTCACCTCATATTCAACTGGGTAACCAAATTTTGACAAAATATTTCCTGAAATGGACCACATAAATGGGATACCACCATAAAGAAGAATTAACTACAAGACAAAAGCATGAAAATGTGGTTTACAATAAAACAGTGTCTCCATTGATGTATACAAAAATCATGAAGTTGCATCTGAGAAAATGTATGTTTTGAATGACTTATCATCCAACCAATCAATCGCTGAGAAAATCAGTCAATCAAACATTCAGTCAGTCACTCCATCTATTGGCTAATTAATTAGTCAATCAAACAATCAGTTAATCAATCAATCAATTTAATCAATTAATCAATCAGCCCGTCAATCAATCAATCAATCAATATTGGCGTAACGATCAATCAGTCAACTAAACAAACAGCCAAACAATTGACTACTGGTAGTTGTTTTTCAACCTACTAAATCACTTATCAATTCATTACTCTTTTATGTACAAATGTACGTAGCTTAAGTAGCAGTCTTACGCTCATCTCTATCTGTGTATAAATGCCATGATAAAAGCTAAAAGAACTGCGATCCAGCTGATACAGTCTAGCTTTTTCAAATGTCTCCTTATCAAGGACATCTTTAAGCTCTACAGGGACATCTTGGGTGCTCTTGAACAACTTGTGCTGCGGAAATAAAACACTCCAATTCATATGAAGGACCCATGTGGCTATTAAAAAGTGCTACTCCTTTTGTCAACAAATTCTCATCACATTGATGATGATTTCATATCGTGTAATCATTTAAACTACAATTATTCACCTGGCGATGGGAGAGATATGTTTCCCAGAGATAAACAAGCCACAAAAACAGGAAAACAGCGCAAAAGACGTCCACCATTTTGAATTTAGCGCCCACTGTCTCAAAAAGCCAGCTGTTTATCACGTGAAAGCACGTGGTTTTTGAATGAAAATTCTTTGTTCGATCAATAAACATCTCCCTGACGACAGTGGCAGTGGTGCGCAAATATGCATGTTAAGTATTTAAACATTCATTTAAAACCAGCTGTTTGTGTCCTCAAAAGATCATAAAGAAATCACGACAATTAATCTTTACATATTTGTATAAAGGATTAATTGCTTGGAGATATGAAACTGTCAATTACATTGAAGGTTGGTTACAATATAGTCTGACAAGAAACGTGACATTTTATTTTTGTTAAAACGTTTTTAAAAACAAAAGAGCAATTAACATGGGAAATGGCTCCTCATCTTCTCGTCCAAATACCGTCGTAGTTCGACCAGCAGAGACTAACCAAACAACGTTTCTCCCTGAGAGAAATAATCATGTGTCAGTCTCTACAACAAACAGTTCGCTGGCAAATGGAGGGACGAGCGGTAATTCTCGGCTTACTCCAACTTGCCCCCAGTACCAAGAGCTGGATGAGTCGATAGAAATGGCAGCATCACCGAAAGTATCGACTCGTCAATCTTTTGAAGGCGATGATTCAAGACAAGTAAGAACTGTGGAATGTACACAAAATGGACAACAATCAAGCGAACCAGCTGAAGAAATGGTGTTTGAAGTGTACCATTCATTTCAAAATGGAAGAGACTATACCGTGCTCAACAATGAAGGGACAAGATTTTATCTCGATTCATGGGAAACAGGTAACACTGTGACTGTCAATCATTTATTCATCATCATGTCATTTCATGTCGTTTGTTGATTTTTCTGCTCACAATCCATTTCCCTTTGACCTCTTGTTCCTGTTTCATTAAACTCTATTATTAACTCCTTATCTGTCTGTCAAGTTTATCCCATCCATCAATTCCTTCATCAATGTCGACAATCTTGTCTCCTTCAGGTGTTCATGAATATTCATGAATTGAAAAGCCTACCATGCTATAATTGTAATAAGTTTATTTTATTCTAATTAAAAACATAATTCATCTATTTTTTCAGGAGAGTGGCAGCCATTTCCAGAAGACTGGCTTAACTTTGGTCATATAGAAACTGAAGCTAGAACCTCCACAAACACAGATGCAGTATCGACAAGTGACATCATTCTGGATAACAACAATCGCATGGAGGATGAAAGGATGAGTGAATTAGACCATCCATTGAAAGGTAAATATAATGAAACTTTGAATAATACAGACACTTTATATCTCTATGTACTTTAGCAACATTACTGATAACTTCAAAATACCATTCTAATATATATTAATTAAAAAGTTGATTGGTTGCATGGTTAATTTTTGCGTCCATTGTGTGATCTTCCTAATATATATTATATAATGACTGACTGCTTTTTTTCTTCAGGCAAACTAATAACATACATGATGGATGCACAATGCTTTGTCCATTGTGTGTTTGAACCGTCTTCAGGTGCATGGTTAAAACTCCCATTATCATGGGAACTTCATTCGCCATCCATCAAACCAATGATTTCCTCTATTCAGCAGACAATACCAAAGTGGAGAGACCAAAATGAAATCTTGTCCATGCTACGGCAATGCAGTTACGATGTTGATGAAACAATTGCTACTTATCTTGCTCTTAATTTAGAGAATGATTCAACATGGAGGAAGAAACACACTCACTCAGGATCTTTTCACGGAGATATTGGAAGAATACAAAGAGAAATACAATCATTAAGACAGCGTGTTGAACAACTTGAAGACCAGCTTCATGTCAAAGAAACAGAGCTCTACACACAGGAACAACAACAGAATAACTTAAAAACAAAGTTAGAAATGAAAGAATCTGTGATAGCTCAGCTTGAAATCAAAATGTCATGTTTACAAAATAATCTTGAGGATGCCAAAGCACAACTGGATGAAGTAGCTTCTTCAAATGATTGTAGTATAATTTCTGATGAAGTAGTTAGAACTCCCACACCAAAGAGAAGGAAAATCAACTCTGAAACAGTTTATGCAGCTAAGATGTCATTGAATGGGTTGTCCAAGTCCACTCAACAGTTAAAAGACATCTTTGTAAAAGAGAGAGAGAACATTCAATTGTTATTGCAAAATGCAATTTCAGGTATAATGGAGTTTAGGTCAACAGCAAAATATGAAAAAGAGCAAATAGCAGAACTGAAAAAACTATATCATCAAGAGGCTTTACATCGCAGGATGCTGTACAACAAAGTCCAAGAGTTAAGAGGAAACATTAGAGTGTTTTGTCGATGCCGTTATGATCCCCAAGCTAAAATGGCTGTTCATTTTCCATCAGAGTTTGAAGTAAAGGCGCAGACTCCATCAGGAGAAAGAACATTTGCATTCGACAGGGTGTTTTCTCCTACTACTACACAAGAGAAGGTTTTCGAGGATACTTTGCCTTTGATAACATCTTGTGTGGATGGATACAATGTGTGTATCATGGCTTATGGGCAAACAGGTAACAAATCTCTCTAAAGATGACTTTACTGATGCATTGCAATGCACTTGCAGTTGAGAAGTGCCTGCGCATCTTGGATATCATTGATTGGAATCCAAGAGAGCATTGAATGGTGCCTGAAAGTTTTTTAGTGCATACATACATACTTTAGATATAAATTTCAGTATTATAATTAATTTACCTTTACACTGTGATGTCAATTCCTGGAAAAGTTCTTGTAACTTTTGGATTTGTTTAGGTTAAAGATGTTTATCCTGTTTTATCAGCAAGTGTTTTTGATGTTTCTTGTGAATTTTGATTTTTTGCAGGTTCAGGGAAAACGTACACCATGATGGGTCCAGATGCAAATCCTGGAGTTAATGTCCGATCGGTTCAAGAATTGTTGAAACTCTGTAAACAGAGGGAGAATGTTGAATACACACTAACTGTTTCAATGTTAGAGGTTTACAATGAGTCGCTGCGTGATCTTCTAAGCGACAGTTCCACATCACAGTTAAATATTATTATGAAGGGCAAGGTTGTTGTAGTGACTGACTTGACAGAAGTCCAGGTCAATAGTGAAGACTCAATCACAAAAATAATGGCAAAAGGTAAATGATAACTGGCTTCCTGGAAACCAGCTGCTTTCCATACTTTGGGTTTTCTGTGTTTTGAAAAAAACTGGACAAGGTAGTTGGAGGGTGGTGGACTGGTTGGAGGGAAAAAGTAAAAATTTGTGTTCAGGGATTCAGTGTTTGAGTACCCCACATGTTCTTGATCTCAATGTTGTATATTTTTGTTTGCAGGTAATGCTAACCGTTCTGTTGGAGAAACCAAGATGAATACAAACAGTTCTCGCTCTCATCTAGTGTTAATCCTGAACGTCAAGGGAGTTGACCTGGTTTCAAACTCAATTTCTCATGGAACTTTGACTCTTGTAGACTTGGCCGGATCAGAAAGAATCTCCAAGACTGAAGCAACAGGGCAAAGACTTGTTGAGGCAGCAGCAATCAATAAATCACTGTCTGCCCTTGGACAAGTCTTCACTGCTCTACGCACCAATGCCATGCATGTACCATATCGGAACTCCAAGCTAACACAGTTACTACAAGGAGCCCTAGGGGGGGATGGAAAGGCTTGCATGTTCGTGAACATTAGTCCTGCTGATTATAATCTTAGTGAGACCCTGAGTACTTTGAATTTTGGATCTGGTGTCAAACAAGTTCAGCTTGGAAAACCTGTACAAAACGTGAAAAAGATTGCCAAAAACAGGTCTCTCATGGCCTAGTCTAATTTTATAAAGTAAAAATGAAAGATATTAAGAATACTTAAAAATTTGCATTCATGCATTTCTCATTCGTTCTTTTTCTTTCCCATGTTTTTAACACTGCCGGTGAATTCAGGTTTACAGATTTAACAAGATGTGTTTATTGATAGTTATTTATTCAGACATAAACTTAGAGTTAATTAAAATGAACTGACATCTATTATTTAAATAAAATATGCCTAATAAGTAATTGAAAGTCTAACCTTTTATTTGAACTGATTTAAAATTTACATATCTTAGTTGTTCCTTGTATTTACATATGTACTGTAGGAGAGTGTAATTAGTGCTAATAACGTTAAAATCACCAAATGAGCACACTAAGTACTCCAGTTGAAACAAAGAAAACAATCAGAATAATTTTTGCTAGAGTATGTCAATGTGTTGTCTGTATTGAAAAGATGAGTGTTAATTACGATAACATTACCATAAATGACATCATATATATTAAAAAAAAATTGTCAATAAAAACTTTGTTCCTTCCTTTGATTTACTGTCTTAGATAAACAAAGCTAGCAAGTGGACGTACTGAAATTCCATGAAACAATTAAATATGCTAATATACCGCTAAATAGAGGTGATTAAACAAGAAATTAGTAAAATTTCCTTCTATATGTAATGCAATGGATTTAGTGTAAAGACTAATTATAAGTTTTTCTCTTTTTACACAAACTCTCCTCCCCTTTGTTAATTTACATTGCCATAAAAAAAAATAAGGAAAGAACAAATCTTATATTGACATTTTTTACAATTTTTTGAAAATATGTTTTTTTTCTTGCTTTCTTACAAGCGTATATTTTTTCACAATTCCTTTTCAATCTCGGATACTGTTTTTTATTTTGTTTATCACGGGCCAGCTCACGTTGGACACGTCCACTAGTCACGTTTGCAATCTTTACAACCACATGACAACAGATACAGGAAGTCAATCGAAGTCCGAAATTAACATAAAAGCTTGTTTTTCGAAAATTAGAACTTTGTTTTAAAGAATAAAACATAATATGTACATTTATACAATAATATAATCCTGGAACGCAGTTTTATAAATAAAAGGGAACCCAGTCGGTTCAACTAAACTAACTCGATTCCAAAGTTATGCATTTTCTGTTTTGGAAATTCAGTCGATGTTTGTCGATGCTCTGGTTGCTAGTTGTCGGTAAAAGTGACAGTAAATGGTTGACAAGTATAGAATCACAGAGGAACTTTCTATATGTGGGTTCATTTTCTGACTTTAGCAGCTCTTTTCCATTGCAAGGACATGAATCTTTCTCTGTGCTCAGCTGCGAACGGATAACAATACCATTTTCCATCATTTTTTTACCAGACGTACTCGTCTTTTTCAAGTCACTATTACTTCTTTTCACTTTACCAAACGGAGTGATACTATTAGCATCTTGCAATGCCGAGAAAAACTCGTCGAGATCCATGTATTCTTCGGCATTACTTTGTGAATTTTGAAAAGGGTCCTGATGTGGTTGATTGTCTGTGCTGATGGCGTCCATTTTAAATCATCCACGTAAAGTGAAAGATATTCTCCGATTTCCTCAAACGTTTTCTTTCAAATTCCGTCCAATTCAGCTGAAGAACATACTCCCAACCCGGCAAGATTGCATAACTAAAACATCTTCACTGTTACATCAAGTTATAAACATAATTACACGTGACCTAGAGGAGTTGCGTGACAGTAAATCGTGACTGAAGTAACGCAGTTGTGCCGGTATTGTCTTGTCAAAGTCAAAGGGAGAAGCTAAGGAAATATAATGTAAAGTTTTAACAAGGAATATGGTCTAGCATGAAAAAGAAAATAACAGGAGATGTTGAAATAAAAACATTCTAAAAATACACTCTTTAAATAAACAAACAAGCAAATAAAAATTTCCCACAAATGTAAGAAAAAATGTCTTATATAAGAGAGAGGAAAATTTAGTATCTGAATTGAAAAGGGGAAAAAAGATGAAACAAATAAATGAAAGGAAATTTAAATTAATCTATTGCGCATGTACAAATGAGGCAATCCGCTGAGCAGTACAAAGTAGTGGTTTGAGCCTGCGATAGAAGTTTTTTTTCCCAAGGCTGCAAGGGCCTTGATATCTGGGCCTGTTTGCTTAAAATCTTCAAGGCAAAAAGGCCTCTATTTTTGGAAAATGGCGTCTAGAGAAAATCCTCGGATGAAAGCCTACAAGAACAGGGCTTTGGATACTTCTGAAATGCGGCGTAGAAGAGAAGAAGAGGGCGTCCAACTTCGGAAAGCTAAGCGAGAGGAGCAGGTCGTCCAACATGATTTGATCATTCAACTTGCACTTTGTGAACAATTATTTTTTAACTTTTTGACTAGAAGAGTTTTGAATGCAGTGAACTAATTTTTGTCTGTTTTTCTGTTTATAGATGTTTAAGCGACGTAATGTTGATGTGAGCAAGGAAGGAGTGCAAGCTAGCGAGCTGGAAAGCCTTCTGACCAGTGATTGGCAGGTACAGTGCTCAGACGAGAATTAACAACCCAAATACATATATTAGTACATCCAATATTAGCATTACCCTCGACTTTTCTCTCGGAATACTATGGGTAGATATTTCTGGTGATTGCAATCAAATTTCCTTAGTTTCTATGATATCATTTCACAAGAGTTGGTGGGTGGTTTGGCGAAATGTACAACTTCTGGGAAAGTTTGAACCTGGAAGTTGTGGTTACAATGAAACATCGATGCTTTGTTAAATGTTTTATCATAATTTTTTTAAATATCTTTCGTGTTTCTGTCATGAATGTATGTAAATATTGTGGTTTTGATAATTTACCAGTAGTGGAATTAACCAGCCATAGTTTAACCAGAAAATCCCAAATACCCCAAATACTTTGACACCAACCTGTATTTCAATTTTATTACTTAGTAATGTATTAATTTGAAAGTGTGTTAAGTTGGGTTATTCCTTTCCTTATCTCCTCATCAATTTCATTTTTGCTTTTTTAGTATTTTTACGATTATTTTCAATCATCCATACATTATTTGCAAGGACATCACACAGTAGCTTGTTTTTAATGTTGTCCTAATGAAGAGGTTAACACCAATAAAACCATGAGTTTTTAATGTACACATATATAAAAATATGTAAACTAAGGACATTACAATAAACTTTAAATCATAATTACAGCATCAGTGGTAATTGAAAAGCAACAATTTAGTAATATAAAATATTAGACAATTAATTTAATCATTTTGTACTTTATTTTAACTTGCATGTAGATATGCCTAGTCATAACATTCACGAAACTAATCCTGTTAATCCTAATGTTATTATTACTTGCTTTAATTCTCCAATAATTTTGTTTATATTGTGTAACAGCCCAGGTTTTTAGATTAGACACGCCAATATATCAACTATAATATTTTTTAAATAAGTATTGATTTTTTCTCTTGCGGAGTCAAACAATGGAGTTCAAACACTAAAACCATGAAAAACTTTAGAAACTAACTTGTGCTTAATTGAATCATGTGAATAATCCTTTTTTTTCCATTGTTGAATATGTATTGCTCTATTTATACAGTATATTGTTAGGATTCTATCCTAAAATTTAAATCTTTCACCATCATGTTTTGTTTTTCAGGGACCTTTGTTCCAAGACATGGTTCAAGCTGTTTTTTCAGAGGATCCTTCAAGAGAATTAGCAGCAACTCAAAGATTTAGAAAAATATTATCAAAAGGTAACATTGTTTTAAAACAATATATATCAGACGTTTATCATTCTATTATTGTCCTTCTTCCACTGTGAACAACAGATTTATTAGAATCTCAAAAATGTTGTTTTATTTCAGAACCAAATCCTCCTATCGATGATGTGATAAAGTGTGGAGTTATTCCAAAGTTTGTAGAATTTCTTCAAAGGGATGACAACAGTTCATTACAGTTTGAGGCTGCATGGGCACTGACCAATGTTGCATCAGGAACCTCAATGCAGACAAGAGAGACAGTTAATGCTGGTGCTGTACCATGTTTTATTAAATTACTGGAATCTACTTATGATGATGTACAGGAACAGGTAATCAGCCAGGAAAACCTGGAAAATCCCAAGCAATAATTGTGATTTTCTGTGGTTTGCTATCCCAGCAGATTTAGTTTTAATCATATCTTGAAATGTCAGGCTACTAGTGTTGCTAAATATATCATTATGTAACAATCAAGTGACACTTGGTACCATGCAGTGTTTTCATTAATTATTGTTTTTTTTGTGTGTGTGTTTCTTTTTAGGCTGTGTGGGCTCTAGGAAATATAGCTGGAGACAGTGCAGAATGTCGGGATTATGTTCTTAGCTGTGGTGTACTTATCCCTTTTTTAAAGTAAGTTAAAAATATTTCTTACCAAGAAATTTACCTGTGTGCAATCATACCCCAGCTCTCTCCCTGTTAGGAAACGGTTTTCCCTATTGAAGGATGGCGAATGCTTGCTCATAGGCTACATTTACAGGTTGTATTGTGGAGAGCCTCGATCTAAAGTATGTAATAGGCCTTTTCTGAGATGGCAGTTTGCATTGCATTGTGGTCTAGGTTTGGTATCTTTTGTTCATGCTGCCAAATATGGCATTGTTTGAAGCTAGACCACAATGCACCATGATTAGGTGTATAATCAATCACATTAGACTGAGCTCCTTGCAATAATAATAATTACATAATTTAAACTCATCTTTTAATTTGTAATTTCTTTGTTTTCAGTCTAATAACAAAATCAACACGTCTGTCTATGACAAGGAATCTTGTATGGGCTTTATCAAATCTTTGTCGAGGCAGACATCCTCCTCCAGATTTTTCAAAGGTGAAGAAACTAGTTTTATTAGATGTTGAAACTTAGAAAACAATCCTGTGCATTGCTCTTAATTATTTTTTACTTAGCATCACAAATATATACTTCTGGCTATTTCAATTTAGTGATAAGTGTCACTAATTATTATTGATATGATTTTAGGTTTCACCGTGTTTACCAGTTCTTAGTAGACTTCTATTCAGCACAGATGCTGATGTATTGGCCGATACATGTTGGGCTTTATCGTATCTATCTGATGGACCAAACGAGAAAATACAGGCTGTCATTGATTCTGGAGTTTGTAGAAGACTAGTAGAACTACTTATGTGAGTAGCTAAAAATTCCCCACCCCTCCCTCTGTGAGTCTGCTCATAGGGGAGGGCTCAGGGATGGGTTTGCACAGGTATGTTGTAAACTGAACATGTTTTACTGTTGTTTCTTTTGCTTTTTTCAGGCACAACCAAAATAATGTTATATCAGCAGCTTTGAGAGCAGTTGGGAATATAGTTACTGGAGATGATGTACAAACACAGGTAACAAGACAGGAAGCTGAGCCAGATAACTCATATCTTTTCATTCATCACTTCATTTGCTTGTTCTTTCTTTCATTTCTTCTTTTGTTTATTCATTTCATTATCATCATTCAACTTTTGAGGACACAATGTCTAGAACTATAGATAGCCACACAGCCTTTTCCTGCATTGTCTGCACCAATTTTAATCCCTGAATTTCTTATTTATTCATTTAGTCATCCCTCCCTCCATTTATTTATCCATTCATCCATCTATTTGAATCATGACTATTATAAAATTTATGTTTCTGTTTTATAGGTTATTTTGAACTGCAATGTTCTGCCAAGTCTTTTGCATTTATTAAGCAGCTCAAAGGAAAGTATAAGAAAGGAAGCTTGTTGGACAATATCAAACATTACGGCAGGAAACAGATTGCAAATACAGGCAAGATATAAGTACATTATAACAGTATTATGCATATAGAAATTATTGTATCTTTGCTTTAGAATTATTGTTTACAATTGTTTACTATTTCTTATTCAGGCTGTAATCGATGCCAATATTGTCCCTATGCTAATAGAAATACTCAATAAAGCTGAGTTTAAAACACGAAAGGAGGCTGCCTGGGCTGTTGCCAATGCAACATCAGGGGGTACACCAGAACAGATTAGGTATGACTACTTTCTGTCTGTTTCTTCTTGACAGACTGGAGATTAATCATTAAAGCGCTCAACCCCCCTTGAACTATTTCAAAAAGTCCCCCCCCCCTAAAAATAGTACCTCTATACACTAGATTAGGTCTACAAATGTCAGCACCCCTCATCTCACTTTAAAAATCCTTCACTGCCCTTGTATAGTACGCTCTGTTGTTTGCACTAAGACTCTTAAACTGATTCATCTTTCCCCAGGTACATTGTAAGCCAAGGAGCAGTACGACCTCTATGTGATTTATTAACAGTGTTTAACCCCAAGATTGTCCAAGTAGGATTAAATGCGTTGGATAACATTCTAAAAATTGGTCAAACTGATTCTAAACAAGAAGGAAAGCCAAACCCTTATGCTATTATGGTAGAAGAAGCGTATGGTTAGTAGTAATAGTGAAAGAGCCGTTATCGGTCATCTCGCCCCATTGCCATCTCGCCCCCACTATTCCATCTCATCCCCACCATCTCACCCCTACTTTGCCATCTCGCCCCACCATCTCGCCCCAATATTACCCCCACTATCTCACCCCTACTTTGCCATCTCGCCCCACCATCTCGCCCCAATATTATATATCCGTTAGTTCACATTTCATTATGTGATTCTAGCGCGATGTATGTGATTTATTACATATCAGGAACAAGTCTTGAATACACTTGCTTGTTTATTCAAGCAGCAACCGGTGTTGTTGTTGTCGTTCGATCGATCGAAGGTTTATACCGTGCAGCTAATACGCAGACTTTTTAATCGAGCTTTAGTTGTGATCGAGAATGTTAGTAAATTAACAAGCTCTCCATTGACCGTAATTCGAAAGAGCTCCGATGACTTTGCTGTGCTAAAATCAACCTGGTTTTTGTTGCTTTCTGTAGGGTTAGACAAGATAGAGTTCCTGCAAGGACATGACAATGAAGAAATTTATAGAAAAGCTTTTGAAATAATTGAAAATTACTTTGGAGCAGATGAAGAAGATGAAAAACTCATGCCAACAACAGATGCTGATGCCACACAGTACCAATTTGGTGGTAATAACATTGATATGCCTCAAGAAGGCTTCCAGTTCTGAACCAATTGTAAGGAGTGTGATTGAAGCCTGATATGAGATGAAGCATCGTCATGGCAATGCTTGGCAGAGAATGGACTGCACCCTTTGCACTTCTCTCTGTCAGAAAAACAAAATGGTGTGAGCTTGTATAGCTTTCAAAGGTGCCTTTTGTGGCATAATTAACAGAATGACAAGATTCTTGAACCATGGTTATATTTAATGGTATTTTGGAACTTGAACTGTGGATACAGAGAGGGGTTTCAATGAAAGCCCTCTTAATCACAAATTCAAGGGTGTCTTGCTGGTGTTGATGACTTCTACATGAATATCTAAATTCTCCTTAAACCCCTAAAGAGTTTATTTTTATTATTATTTTGTTGTTAACAATCATTGCAATAATTTTGTCATGCTAAACTTATAGTTATTGTTGGAATTAAACGTAAATTAATTTTTAAATCTTTACTCGCCAGATTTATTGCAATTATTGTGCATGGTTTAGTAAGGAGAATTTATATGTTCATCAGTTACCTTTGTGCACTTGCCTAGACCCTGTAATCAAATGTAAAGATGAGAGAAGTGAACTGTATTTATCATGAACTGAAGTTGTAAAATTCACAGGCCTGTAACACACTCTATAATATTGTTCTTTGGTTACAATATCAAATACGAACAATGCTATTTCCTAATTCAATCAAACACAAAGAGTTTGGGATGACTGGACATCCTAGGTACATTAATTTTGTATGACAATTGGGCATGCTTTTAATCACATGAGAAAGTTTAAAGATATCTCGATAACACTTCATGCTATGTTGTATATTAAATGTAACTAGAGAGAGAAACACGAGCCATTAAATCAGTTTTGTTATTTTTTCACAAGTAAAAGTATTGTCTGCACTATAATAGATGAAGGGATGGCAAATAGTATCTCGCTGTCTTGGCAAAAATTTACTCAAATTCTCGTTCTTGTCTGGACTTAACAATCAGATTTTTCTGACAAAGTCCTGTTTCTAGTTTTTGGCCTCATGACTTGACAGCTATCAGATTCGTCACCCCTAAATATAAGAAGCATGCCCAACTGCATTTATCCCAGAGTCTACATCCAAATTATGGCCTGCTTTTCTGGATGGTATGAATGATTGTCCTTCTTAGTTTGATATGGACAGTTTTTCTTTCAGTTTGTCTCAGAGTCTATAAAATGATGAGCTGAGATAAAGTAAAATGGTCTTTAGTATTATTTTGAGCAAGGTCCAGAAAAATAAGAAATAAAAAGATGTTTAATATTTTGTGTGTGTTTGTGATCAATGATGCTTTTCGCAGTCATAATGAGTAAGGTAATGATAAAAGTGATTGTTTGCATTTAAAGTGGAATATGAAGTTTCCAAACATGAAAATTGAAAGAGTAAGTTTGAACATGCTCAACCTTGGAGAGAGAATCAGACTCGTGTCTAAAAATTTGTGGAACTTTTTAACACCAATTTGCATTATGGCTACTGACATTTATCGCCACCTCTTGAGAACCTTGCTCTGCCTCCATCCCCTCCTATACAGTCTCTACCGGACTACCTGTGTTAACTCCCAGACATGCGTAGTTTATCCTATCGTCAAAATCCAAAATGGCGGCAAATTCGACTGTCGTAGACAGAAATGAAGAAGACGATCCCCTGGACACGATTCCTTTAGTATTTCACTGCGTTGGCTGTCGGACTATTATTGGGGACAGTTTATCTTGGGTCTGTGCTGATCAAAATTTGAGGACTGTGTCTCTCTCAGGTAAAATTTTATTTACAATTATTTTGTACGTTCAAGATAAGCTTATTTTCTGTCTAGATGATCATGATAAAGGCTTCTGTATCTGCATATTTCGATTCTGTGTTATTTGATATTTCAGCGGTAACTCCGTTTGTTCATGTTGCAACTGAAGATGGAATGGAAATATCTGCAGAGGGCGAGGATCTAGGAAGGTCTGTTTATAAATTTATTTTTTTAAGTTAATAAGCTTTCATACTTCCTTTTAATTAAAAGACACTATTATTAATCTAGCCATCCGTGTAAACTATGCAGTTTACCCATCCATCCAACAGTTCTTTCATCCATAGTTTGACTCATTCATTAGATATTCAACTTACATCCTTCCATTCATTCATTTTCTCATCTATTTTCCTATTTTTCTGTGATACTCATATTAACAGCTAGTATTTATATATTCAGCACCTTTGTTGTCCTCAAATGCGCAACTTGTCAATCACAAATCGGCAGGATTTACAAAACAACTCCAAAACAATTGGACATGATAAGGTATGCATGAAAACAGTGAAGCATAAATACCACAAAATATGTGTCATATGCAAATTATGCTAAATACATATATAAGTGTTTACAATGTAGTATTTCATCTTATAGAGATATGTATACATTGGATTGCTCAAGCATCAAAAGGTCAGTACATTCTTACTTATTACTCGGGGTTCCTGTGGAACCCAGAGTTTAAATTTCGGGCTTCTTATTTTTCTTTTTGTCGTCGCTTATCAGTCACAAATTGTCCACAGGTAGCCCAAGCTCATAATCACGTGTTATTCTAAAAATGCTATTTAGAGACCAATTTAGCGAAATATTATTATTGTCCTCGATAGAACATCTAAATGAAAGTATTATTGCGAAATTTTGAGCCAAAATAATGCTTTTTAACAGAAATACGAGCAAACGAAAATTGGTAAGAATGTATGGGCTTATCACGGCTCAATGTGTTTTAGACAGGTCAAGAAATAACTACAAAAGGCTGTGTTTTAAGATCTAAATGAATTTTTCATGTTCATGGCCAAAAACAGCATATAATTCCCAACAATTATGCAAAGTCTGAAGTCAAACTGCGATTATTTAGCAAAAATATAAGCGTTTGAATATGGTCTTACTTTACAAGGGAATGTATGGGAAAGCCCTGATGGTGTACTATCCAGTACACAACCACGCGGACAGTAACTCCGAGTGTCGAAATAAGCTCAAAAGTAATGATTTTGCTTCAGTTTTCTAACAATATCATTCTAAAAATTTAATTCAATGCTGAGACTATAGTTGTTTTAAGATTTATAGGCTTTCCGAGGTTAATTTGCAGGGATGCCAACTCTCCCGGATAATCCGGGAGTCTCAAGATTTTCGACCGTTTCTCCTGGTCTCAAGATTTTACCGCTAAATCTCCCRGATAATGRCGATTMATAKATCAGTTTTTTGAAATATCTCTTTTCATCTATTAAAACTCAAATTACCTTGCATATCATTTTAGTTCTGAAAAAATACAAAAATCCCAGTCATCCGCGGGCATTTTCAATTGCACAATACAATCTATAATATGATTAAGATACATCCAATCAAATCACTAGTTATAACGAAATTTGATAAATGCGABGACGTCATHGAYAATGTTATGAARYGTCATTWYBGGTATGACGTCATCATTTTCGTTCTCAAGATTTGAAAAGTTTGGGAGTTGGCATCCCTGAATTTGGCGTATTTCAAGTAGCTTGACAGTATTGCGTGACATATTTTTGAACGTTAATAACTCAACGAATAAACAGCAAAAAWAGKTGAAACTTTCARAGAGAAGTTCTATTATGCTCTTCAAGGTATTTTAGTACTTTAATGTTGTGTGTCTGTGATTTTAGAATTTTTTTCGACTGATGACTTCATGTGCAAACCGATAGTCGGCGAGACTGTAATACGCGAGGTGGAAGAAGACAGAAATTCAACGTCTACAAATACGCTCAAATCACTTAAAAATATCCACACTTTCGTGGCATAGCCACACTAAAATATGACCAGCGTTTTTCCGAAAAGGGAATTTCAGAAGATAACGTAAATTTATCGAGAATTTATCTTACTGTCTATCGAGATCGAGTCTATCGAGAATTGTCTATCAAACAAGCACCTATCTTAGCACAAGCGAACTGTATACGAACTTATGCAGGCTCTGAAACTACTAAGGTCTCGTCTAAGGAATGCGAACAGATTCTTCTGAGGAAAAGCCGACGAATGGAAGAGCGGAGAAGATAAAAGACTCTGTGTTTACAGCCTGTCATGTGACTATCAAAGACCGGCTTGCTGATGATCAATTTTTTCATGATATTTATGCTGAGTACACTGTTTTTTTATTATTTTTTATTCGAGGAAGTATTTTTTGCTTTACGCCTTTTGATAGTATGACTATTAACTTTATTAAGGTTCAATATAGTCCAATTCTTCTCAATTCTTCGACTACAACACTCATTTGTCACTCAGAACCCCGAGTTCACGCAGCTATGCGTCTAGTTAAATTATTAATTGGGAATATTTAAGTTGAAAATACTCTTACTGAAGAGCTAACTTGTCTCTGTAACCTTGTAGCTCAGCTGGTAGAGTAGTCTCCTCGCAGCCGTGTTTAGTTTCGGTCACGTGTCACGCAACCTCTCCACAGAGAGAGAGAGAGAGAGAGGTTGCGTGACGCGTGACCGAAACTAAACACGGCTGCGAGGAGACTACTGATAGAGCATCGGTAGTACAAATCCAAGGGTTATGTGTTCGAATCCTAGTGAGGTCAGAAATTAATTTTTCTGAACTTAATTCCAAGGGTGTTTTTTCCGGAGTAACCTCCTTCCTAGCACTATAACTTTATTTCTATATTCTGTAACCATAAATTTGAGCTTTGCTTTTCCAAAGAAATACTGTCTGCAGTCTATTGTCTTGGCTTTTGCCTTCTAATCATCTATTTGTTATCAATCTATGTTCTGTAATGATCTGTAGTTATAAACTGGGTTCCAATAAAGAAAAATCAATCAAAACAACGGAAGAACTGCTGGAAATACCTACTGCACAAACTCTGCTGTCAGAAATTGTCAAAGTAAGTTAGTTAATATGTACTAAACTATAGTTAAGACATCTACATAGTCACTGCCATAATTTGTTGTTTCCATTTCTTCATTAACATCAGTAGGGCATGGAGTCTAAAAAGAAGCATTTAGCTGATAAGATATAAAAATTGTTTTAGATTCAAAGTGTTGTTGTGGCTCTCAGTGAAAGACTCTGTGACCTTGAAAACCAAGTGAATAGCAATAAAAGAAATGATTCGACATCTGTATCACCCAATGATACCATAACATCAACAACATATACCAGGACCAGGAAATCTTCTCAAAATGATATGAAAAGACACTTAAACGAAACAAATCAGAGTGATCAAGAGCAAGGACCATCAAAACAGAAACGAAAACGAGTTACATAACGATAATTGGCTTTGGAGATCGAAATTTGTTAGGTAAAGTACATTGCTGCAACAACTGCTATAAGAGACACTGCATTGTGAATATAACAAAGGAATCTTGTGAGGCCATATTTTTCCAGAGTATTACATAAATGTTATTTGCTTGCTATGCAACCAGCCAACCAAAAGCCATGGCATGTAATAAGTGATAGACAGCTGTCAATCAAAATAATTAGCATTGTTTTTACATCACTGGGTAGTAAGACCATAGTTCTATTGTCAATGAAAGTCTAATGCCAGTTATAGCCGATTTGCAAATTTTGCCTCAGTAGTCATACAAAAAGGAATCAAGACGAGGCAGACTGTGCATAAAGCTCATTTCGTGAAAAGACAATATTATAGTTTTTCACAATTGACTGGGCTTTATGCACGGCCCCCCTGTCTTGGCTATTATTACCCATCATAATTTTTGTCAGCCTTGGTTGGCGTAGCAATGCAAAAAGTTGTTTTCATTGTTTCCTGTGCAATCATAGATCATAACTGTTTTGAAGTAAACTACAAATTATAAATTCTATTACAGTACATTGTAAATATTATTAGTACATGTAATATTGTTCTGTTGAAGTTGAATTTGTACATATTAATTATTATGAAAATGTTTTTGAAATATTTTTTTATTTCTTTGAGGGAACTTTCACCGAATAAAGTTATAAAGAATTTTACAAATAAATATGACTTTTTTATAAGTTACATTCATAATCTTATTTTTTTCTAAACTAATCTTTAGTACTTGTAACCTGACTTTTTGTGGGTTTACTGTGGTGAAGGCACTAGTCCTTGAAAGAACTAAGTACCAGTATCACTGATACTAAGCTACACAGGAAGCCCAATGTATCATTGTTCAAGTGTTACATCTGGGAAGACATCTTGAGCTTCTGTTACTGCAGACCATGGGAATACAGCCACAACAGATACTTCATTAGCTTTCACCCATGCATTTGCTGGTGATAAGGATGTTTTACCTGCAAAACATTCAGAAAATATTATAACAAATTGATTTTCTTGGCTATGAAAACATTGACAAACAAAGCTGCAATAATCTCATGACTTACAAAAGATTTGCTCAACATCAAGTAGTTGCTCAGTGTTGTCTTCATCATTAACTAATATTGCACTGCCTTTCAAAACTAAGAACAACCAGTGACCTGCCACACACAAAAAAAAAATGAGTTTAAAGTCAAGGCTATGGAGGTGAGTCAGTACAGTGTTCTTCATTTTCAGGTTACGTAACAGTGGCCATCTTGGACGAACTTCAACAAAGGATTTCTCATTAGAATCTATTGTTCATTCCTCAAACATGGCCACCAGTGTTTTATCTTTTCAATCTCATGTGAATGGGTGAAAACGATCAATTATTATAAGAGTAGTGTCCTACATAGTAGACTTGTAAATACCTTCAGAATATTGTTTGTGAGACAAAATTGCTTGTTCTTCCTGTACAGCTTTGACTGTTATTGATAGAGCTATAATGTACACGAACCCTGATGGACAGCTGCTAAAATACTTTGTCTAATGAAGCACAGGTATATAATTTATTATCAAAATCACTCTCTAATTGGATACTCTACTGCTACTGTTATTGCAACTAGATTTGAAATCTAAGCAAAGACTGCAACAAAGATATACCTGCTTGAGAGCCATTCTTAAAATCTGAGGGGGAAAAATATGGAGAATTAGCTCAATGTAGCTGCATTGCATCATGTGTCATTCCTCTTTGTCTGTTAACGAATCTCAAGGTAACTTTACCTCCATATCAAGAGCACCACCAAACTCTTCATAAAGTTGGTTGTTTCGTTTGGTGATATGTTCCTTCCACTTTTGATGAGTCAACTGCAATAGCATTTTATCTGCAGGATTCTTAAAGAATATCAATAAAATCAGCCAGTTATCAACTGCCATGAGTCATATTATTCTACTTGAAATTTGGTGAAAACCACTGAACATCAATGAATGAAGAAACAACTTCCTGGGATTCCTGCTTCCAGGAAGAGTTCCTGGCTGGAATACTAACTGGCACATACCTTGTCAAGAGCACCATGAAAATTTTCGGCTGTCAATTGGATAATCTGACAAGGTGACAATGTTCTGCAAGAAAACAATTTTATAATATATTTGTTGACTATCAAATTTCAATTCTTTCAGTCATTAAAATCAATGCCTTAAATGAAAGTCAAGTTTATTTTATTATCTTAACTCAACTGTAGACAGGGGCTGTATGAGGCAAGTTCCTTAAAGAGATAAATGTGATACCGATGAACACAAGCCCTGTCAAGAAGTCACTAAATACCTGACATTAGATCTTCTCTTAGTCTTTGCAAACAAACCTTTATCAGAAACAAAAACAAAATAAATAACTTTGAAGGTCTGAAATTTGAAATTGTGTAAAAAGGGTCTAATATACCTTCTTCACCAAAGCAAAAGCCATTTTCACCAGCATCAAAAACAGCAAGCTCTTGGTCCTTCGTTGAAAACTGTACTCTAATATGAAATGAAAAAAGAAATGGAAATTATAAGAGACTAAAATGAAAATTGAATAATTGATTACCTTCCATGAAGAAGGATATACATTTCACTGCCAGTAAAACCTTGTAGGAATATAACACTGCCTGCTGGGTATAATGTTATTGGCCCTGAAATGATTAATTATTAATCTATCATTAATATAACTTATCACATGACATCATTTTACTTTGCTTGTCCTGTGTAGTGGTTCTTATTCCATTTGTCTAGACTGAAGTACTATAAACTATCATCTTACTTTCTTTTAATGATTTAACAATTTCTTTTAATGTATTCTCATTCCATCCTTGAAATACTGGAGCCTGCAATAAAATAGAGTGACTCAAGGGAAACTTATATGTAATAAGAGGAAACTGGAGATGGCGAGACTGACACTCGCCACTCTTTATCATACCTTTGTCAAAACTTTGAGTGCTATGTCTTTGCTAAGACCAGAGCCTTCAAATAGGCCACTCGAATCGATGTATTTTCTAAAGCAAAAAGATATCAGCTGAGGTTGTTGCCATGGTGACAGGAAATCATAAATTATACTTTTATATCACTTCTATACCTTTGAATAAACCATTCTCTTTGTGGTATTTTAGGTGGAAGAGTGAAAAGCCTTCTTGCATCTTCTGTTTTGAGTTGGATTACAGTGGATCTGTTTAATAGTTAAGTTAAGTTAAATATTTTTTTTCTGAGTGATGTTGATCGATCTTTTGATCACATTTTTGTTACTTCTCGAAAGCAAGATTTATTATCAAATTCACCTTGATATTGCACGAACAGTAGCTGTGCACTTTGTGTTGTACATAACAGAAACTTCCCCAAAGCAATCTCCTTCGCCAATCTCTCTCAGAACGAAATTCTCTCCTTCACTGAGAACTTCGAACTTTCCTGACACAACAACATACAATCCAGCGGGAATTTCACCTTTTCGTAATAAAACCTTAGAGCTTTCTACATCTAATACTCTGGAAGCATTCAATACGCTTTGAATTTGGGGGGATTTTAGGTCAAAAGGAAATTTTTCCAGCCAGTTTTGGAACTTTGTACGAGCTTCTTGAGAGAGCGCAGAACTTGTTTTTGTTGTTCTTGCAGGTACATTGACCTCTTGCTCACTACTGGGAGCATTTCCCATTGCTTTGAGTTACTTTTCAGGATAAAACAACTGTTCGATCACCTTGTAAGTAAAAAGACTAGAAAGGCAAGCATTTTTCTTGTACTCCAGAATACACCTTCCGCCATGTTTGATTTGGTAATAAATCAACATGAATTTGCATATTTAAATTTGGAAACCACCGCTTGTTCAACTGAAGCTGAGAAAATGAGATCGAATGAAGTCAGATTGGGACTGGATGCACTGGGATTTACAGGAATATGGATAATAGAAACTTGGGACTGAGATTGAAAACCTTTTATTTTGGGGTGGGATTTGGTCGATACTACCCCTTCCCTCCTCAGAACCCTGTAAGGATCATGCAATTCTAACAGAATGCACTTGTTTTCAAAACCAACAAACACAATTTTAAAGTCAATTCACAATTTATTTCTCGTTACAAGTTATTGAAAATTCATAAAGTTAATGTCTGGGGTAAAATAATAAATCAAAATTTCACTAGGAAAGAGTCAAGTACATGTTCTAAGAACATTATCGTGTGCTTAATTAAATCTGTGGAACAAATACAAACCGCTTTCTCTTCTATTGTTCACGTACAGCTGTCTATTGAGATATCTCCATAAACCGTGAAACATACTTGCGTGTCTTTAGTGGTATTATTTCACGGGTTTTTGGAGAGCTAACCATATGGTCCTTACACGTATGCATTTTCGTTTTCTATATATTAAAAAACACAGCAGAACCTTATATGCTCCGAGTAAGTAAAATATACATAAGGATTTTCACGAAATGAGCTCGAAATTTAGCGGATATATCAGCCTTTCTTTGCGCTTTTTCGCGAACAAAGCTTTTTCCAGGCAAGATTGAGGGCTTTTGGTGGATATACACAGGATTCTCAATCTTCTTAATCCTCGTCATTGGAGTCTTGACTGGACTGCTTACGTTTAGCCATTGAAAGAAGGGCTTTTTGTCGTAGCTGCTTTTCCAGATCGTCTCCATCATCATCTTGTTTGCCTTCTTCCCCTTGATGTTCGTCTTCGCTTTCTGAATTCTGCACAGAAAAAAAACAGAAATCCAATTTAATATTTGGAATTATTCTTTTATACATCATTTCATTCATCCTTCCATTCATTTATTATTCATTTGTCATTTATCTATTTAATCATCCGTTGTACCTCAGGGGATCTGTCTTTAGTCTTCTGTTTCTTGTGCTTGTGTTTGTCTTTGCGTTTGTGTTTCTTCTCTCCATGTTTCTTGTGTTTTTTATGTTTCTTTTTCTTTTTGGGTTTTTCATCTTTACCAGCGTCACTATCTCCTGAGGGTTCCTAAAAACATCACCATTTGTATTATTAGAATCGTTAATAATAAAGTTTTATTGGAATAAGCGCGCAAAAAACAACAGCAACATCAAGAACAAGCGCGCTTTGACATCATTCTCAAGAATGTTGATTTAAAATACCTTGACCGGAGAGACGCTTCGCTTCTTCACTGGTCCTTTCTCTTCTTCATCAGAGGAATTCCTCTCAGCAGATTTCTTCACTTGTGATTCTTTCTCGACACTTGGGGATCTTTTTCGTCTTGGAGGAGAAACGCTACCGCGGTCAGACGACGGTGAGCGTCGTTCTGAAGCCTTTCTTTTGTCCTTATGAGTTGAAAAGGGTCTTGGTGAGAGAGATTCTCGTTTTGAGTGTGATTTGTCAAGTTGTTTTGTTAGCTGAGTAGAGTCTCGTTTTTTAAGTTGATCGGATTTGGTTCGTTTATCTGGAGATGACGATGAGCTGGAGTGACGCTGTGTTCGTTGTCTGGAAAGAATAATCAAAAATAAAATGAGTTTATAGTCATGAAGAACCCTTTAAAAATAGAAAAAAGGAAAAACTGCAAAAATCTACATCAATGGCAATTAATATTAAAAACATTTATTAGTCTTACTTTCTTGCAGGAGGCGTTCTTGATTTCGATCTTGATCGTCTTTGCTTTGGTTTCTCGCGCTTTTGTGGGGCTTGTCTGACAGGGCTTCCTTCAGACGACGATGACGCCGATCTTCTTCGTGGTCGTTTACTACTTCGTGGCGGAGAACGAGCTGGCGATTTTGATGATCGACTATCTCTGCGTCCTCTTCCACCTGATCTTGGAGGACCGCGACGGGTTTCTGGTGAAGACACTGATCTACTGCGTTGTTTCTTCTGCGCAGTCTTTTTAGGTGGAGGACGTTCTGGAGAGGAACTTTCGGACTCTTTTCTAGTTTTTCGTCGTGGCGGCGATTGAACGTGTTTTTTCCTGGCTGGCGAAGCATCACTTTCTGAGCTGTCTTCTTTCTTCTGAGGGCGTTTCTTGGGTACTGGACCAGCAGACTTTCTTCTGGGTGGCGATGCACTAGAGGACTCTTCCCGTTTAATGTTACGAGATTCTCTTTGTCTTGGTCTGCGTCGAGGAGAAGGCGAGCGCGATTCACTCTTCGACGGTGATCTTCGTCGTCTTGGCGGTGATGGGCGTCTTCTTCTAGGTGGAGATGGAGATACTGAATCTCGTCTTCTTTTATCTCGTCGTCTAGGCGATGAATCGACCCTCCTTCTGTTTCTGGGAGGCGATGGAGAAGGGGAATTTCTTCTGGAAGGCCGGCGTCGTGGTGGACTATCGTTACGTCTGCGTCGTCTAGGTGATGGTGATCGGGAATACCTTCTACGGCGTGGTGAGTATCGGGGATAGTCCCTTCGCTGTCTTGGTGGAGAATATCGTCTTCTACGATCTCGAGGGCTAGCACTCCTACGGCGATCTCTAGACGAATCATCACGTTTTCTAGTCCGTGGAGAAGACTCCCTACGTCTTGGAGACACTGAACGTTTCTTCTCCCTTTCAGGTGACGAACCAGACTCGGACTCAGACGATGCTCTTTGTCGGTATCTCCGACTTGTAGTCTTCGATGACTTCGGTAATGGCGGTGACTTCTGTTTTAGTTTGTCTTCTGGTTTAGGAGAAGGCGATAACGATGGCTGTCGTACTGGTGAGTCTTGACCTTTCTCTTTCTTGAACTCCGAGCGATGGTGTGAGGGGGGTGGGGACGGGGAATTAGTTGTCTTTTCTTTGGGTTTTTCAGGAGGTTTTTCATCAGTTTTTTCAGGGCTTGGTGATCTTGACTTCGATTTTGAATGAGCTGAGCTTGCACTTCTAGAACGTGATCGAGAAGATGAAGACCGCGGGGGGGTAGCCTTCTTTCGCGGTGACCGTGATGGTTGAGGCCGTCGTCTAGGAGACATGGAGCGAGACCTGTAGAATATTATGGTATGCTTTAGAATCACAATGATTGTGGTTAGTGAGTTGTGATTTTTTTTTCTCCTCTCAGCCCACTCAGTTACACTGTAACTAGTGGGTCCCTATGGTGTCTGCACACATACACAACGAGGTGTACGTACTCTGTGCGCAAGGATGATATCATCATAGAGGATTACTGGGATATACTGCTTTGTTATTCATCATCCAGTCAATCAAAAAATCAAAAATTTAGACAACCAATCATCATCATCATCATCATCATCATCAATCAACCAGACAACCAAATATATGTATCAACAATCAATCAATTAATCTGTCAATCAATCTGGCAACCAGTCAACAGATAACTAATCAGACAAATAATCATCATCATCATCAATCAATCAATCAATTACCATAATTACCTTCGTTCAGGAGATCTCCGTCGTCTAGGTGACCTCCATCTTGACGGTGGAGAATTACGTCTTGCTGGCCTTCCATACGATGGTCTGTAAGGTGATCGTCGACGTGATGAGTATGAACGGGATCGTCTTCGTCTTGGGCTTCTACTTCTGGATCTTGAACGAGATGATGATGATGATCTGGAGCCAGACTTGGATCGAGATCTGCTCCCACGACGAGGAGATTTGGATTGTGACCTTGACCTTCTTTTGCTCTTGTAATCTCGATCATCTTTATCTAGAGATGTGATCAGGATTATGATTAGTAAATATTAATACATCTCTAATACTTATTTCTCAAACTTACCTTTTCTGGACTTTGATGCAGGCATCTAAAAAATGAGAAAAATAAATTGAGTACCAGAGAAGCAACATTAATTGTAAACAAAAACACTGATAAAATACTACTCTGATGATATAAACCCTTTTTCCAACAAAGGACTGCCATCCATACCCTATTACATTCATTGCCGAGCATTTTTGCACATTTAAGACAGGGATGAGCTTTAAACTTAACAGAAATCTCCAGTAAATCATTTTCTGCATTAAAGACAAATAAACTTGCCTTGACACTGAGTTATAGGTTGAAAATGAATATAATTGTCCTTAAAAAGACAACGGCCATCGGAACGTGTTAATATCTTTGTTTCTAAACTGTTGAAAAAGCTTATATTACATAATGCAGCTTCACTTTTTGATGTTATCGAGATCATGATGAATCAAACAGTACAGGTGTTTTCCACACTGTTTTTTTTTCTGCTAAAAGGTTTAATGTCAATCAAAACACTGCTTTCTACAGCATTCAGTATCGTATTCACTGTTGGAGTGTCTTGGCTTAAAATGACTATCCTTTGTTTCCAGTTAAAAGCCACACGATTCGTAAACAAGCCTAATGTTGACTTCACAACATCAAATAAGATTAGTTTATGAGAAAAAACTATTAACTTTTTTTGTTCAATTTATTTCATAAAAACAAACACTTTATTTATTCACATTATAATTTAATAATTCATTATATTATTACATCAAACAATTCTATTTACAATTAACTATTACCCTAAGAATAAACGTTTTTGAATCCTAAGTTTAAAGCACTACTGAAGATGTTAATATTTTATATCTTGCAAGATGCGAAGTAAAAAATCTCTAGAATTCTATTGAAATTAGATTCTTAAATTATATTCTAAAACTATTCTGGAATAATACACAATGAATGAATTAATATTGGTAGTGAAAGTGCTTCAAGTGATGACAAAATAAATTAAAACTCCTATAGTGCTGGTTACGTTGTTCAGCTAAACAACTGACTATTAATTTATCGTTTGTATGCAAGTTCTAAAAATCTATTGGTGTACTTTTTATTTTAAAATACCTTAATCAACTATTTGAGTAAAAACTAGAGGTTTATCTAACTTTTTACATGTAAAATCGATTCATCAAGGTGGACTTACATCACTTTTCCTGACGCCACCTTGCTGCACTTCCCTGATAAGCCCAGCAATGGCTTTGGCAAACTTTTCGTCGCCAGCTTCAATCAAATGCAGAAAGTCTGTATGGTATAGAGACTCGTCAATCATTCCTCCCTCCAGAACCCAGTCACACTCAGGCTTTAGGAAGTACACATGGCCATATTTGGCATTTTCAGTGAAGTCTATTGTCTCCTCTAGGTTAGCATTGACTTCATCTATTTTCTTACGTCTAAATGATGGAAATTCATCTCTGGGTAACAATCCAGTGACTATAATCTTAGTGCTTGGTGTTTTACTAGTGATGTAATCCACAATGGCAAGAATTCCTTGTACTATATCATCTGCAGGGTCTTGATTGACATTGTTAGTGCCGACATGAATGACAACTATGTCAGGATTAAATTCTAACTCTCCATTTTGCAGCCTCCACAACACATGCTGAGTACGATCACCCCCAATACCAAAGTTCAGGGCTCCTAGACTTGCAAAGTAATTTCTCCATACCCTTGGATATCGTGCAAGCCCTTTAACCATTGAATCCCCTACTAGAACTATTTTATTACGTGTTTGCTGAACAACTCGTGCATATCCTTGGTGTGTTTCAAACCATCCTGGTTTCTCTCTGTCTACTGGTCTAGTGGCAATGCAATGATAACTACTAGAAGAAAACCTTGACTTTTTTGGTCGTGGTTCAAGCATATCTCCAAAGCGCTTTGCTCTTTCTTCTTTTCTCTTCATGCTGTCACTACTGGAGCCAAGTTTGATTTTCCTTGGTTCACTCTTTGGCACTTGATTGTCAGAACTCATTTCTGGTGTGCGTATTAAGCGATTTCGTTTAATTTTTGGGACGGAGGAGCTTCTTGTTCTTTCCTCAGAGCTCGATTTACTCCATTTACGCTTCTTTCTTTTCCTGGATCTTTCATTTTCACTGGCATCAGTATCAGTGGTGTCTGAATTAGTGTCATTTCTAGGCGTGTTGGGTTCACCCTTGTTGTCTCTTGAACAGCGACCCTGATGGATGGAAAACATGGTTACCATGACTACCACTACTCCTTGCTGAAGCTTGTCTGTAATAACCAAAAGATATGTCCAGGGAAAAAATGGAAGGAATTGCTTGAAGTCCAGGAATGACGGAAAGCGGATGGGAGGAGTATTTTATAGTTCTGTTCACATCTTTCTGCATGTCACAGACATGCTCCACAATTTTACATACTTATGGAATTATATTCCTCTATTACTAATCTAAATATTGTTATAATCATTCATTAATAACAATTCTATTAGACTCTAATCCTTTTTATGTTAAGAGCAGGTGTGTTTATTTACTAACAGCAACGTCTTTAACTGGCTACAATTTTTATGAATATAAAACGTTTTGAGGTGTTTTCATTCATTTTACTTTAATAAAGCGCTGTGATAGGCATAAACTATACTTGTCTAATCTCAAGGAAATCCGTGCTTCATATTTTGTGCTTGTTACAATGTCTTCAGGATGACAAAAATTCTAATAACTTCTAACACACAAAATTGAACAATCAGTAGATACATCACTTTATGAATAGAAAGTTCTTTCAAATTTTTCTGATGCTAGTTTTATTAGCGTGAACACAACACATTGTGTTTTTTTAATGTTATATCTACAAAACAGACCTTGAAAACAGGCTTTGTTATCCCATTGACCACCGTTTTCTATCATATAACAGACAGGAAAACAAAGAATTATACAACCAAGGGGTCAAAAATAGGACAACAATCGCCCATGCCAACAAGGTCTACATGCAAAGACGGCAGTGCATAATATTATTGACACATAAAGAATTATTGTTATAAGGTAAACATAGTGCAATCACTAGAAAATCTAATATAGACACTTAAAACTAACACAAAGAGCCATTGAAAACTATTCAAAATGTTATTATTATTATTCCATCTTACCATGCTTTCTGCAAGTTTTGATGCTGCTTGTCTTGCTTTGCGCACTTCCTCGGGTAAATCAGGGTCGTCTGGGTTTCCTCCATTCTGCGTTTCTTCCAGGCCTGTGCTGTCTGCTTCAGCTTGTAGGGACTCCCCCTGTTTTTTTAGGTTGGCTTGAATTCTGTCTTGCTCAAGCTGAAAAGAAATAAAGTCTCTTATAGTTATTGCTTCATTTTGAGTAGGAATGTCTTGATTTCTTCCACTGCTGATGCATTATCCTTTTTTGAGTTAATTTTTTTATGTAACTGACTGCAGGAAGATATGTGTCCTTATTAAATGGTTTTATAGGAAAAAACATGAAAATTTAAACAGAATTCATATTCAGAGATAAAATAAAAAGAAGCAAATTTAGTTTCTTTCTACTCTGCTTCAAGACAGAGTATTCAAGTAAAAATAAAAATGTTCAGATCTTGACTTTTGTCTTTATTGATTGTAGTTGAAGTTTATGAAAGACCAGAAGTCTACGTAATTCTGTTGATGAGGATTTCAAAGGAAGGCAATAAGGTTACCTTTCATGTTGAAGATAAAGATTTTATCTAAATGATTAAAACAAAAATGGAAAATAAGTGGAGAATTTGGAACAAATAAGAGTTTATAACTGCTACTGTTTTTAAAAGTGAGTACCAACCAATACTCAGGAATTGTCTTGGCTTCCCTAAGTATCATCACTAGTTTTAACAAAGATTTATTGGTTCCAGAGCAAGTCATAATAACTATTGACCAGGAAATTCCTTCACTACAAGTAGCAATCGTCCTTCTTTTGGTAACAGTAGGCATAGTTTGATGGTAATAAGAACACAGAAATTATGTCGGTATTTGAAAGACGGGCATTGTATGAAGGAGGTAAGTTGGATTACGGCCCATCTACTTTACCTTCCTCTGTTTGATCTCCTCTTTCTTCTTTTCCAGGAACTGTGGTGGTATTCCACCAATATTTTCCTGGGCAGTGACAAGAAGCTCCCATAGCTCTCCCATAAAAATACGAGCATTCTTGGCTTGAAGAAAACCAGTTAGGTTGATCTGCATTAGTTTGGGATCAGGATTCTGGAGAGCAAGAATAACGTAGTAAAAACTAAAACATGAGGTCTTTAAAACAATCTAGCACAAAAATAACCTGTTTAAGAATAAGAAATAGATGTTATTATAAGTCATCAAGACTTTTTTTTAGAGTTATGCCATTAAACAACAATACTTTCACATAGATCAAGTAATTAGCATAATGTAATTAGCCCAACAGCTGTCCAGACAATGATATACGCTAATTTTAGCAGAACGCGAAAACACTCTCGATCTTCATAACTTTACACTATAAATATACATTTTATCCATTTCTTTATCACCTTTTCTGATTCAAGCATATTTACGACAAACTCCAACACAACATCGTCCTCGAAACCTAAAATTTCTGTAATACGTTTCGTGACCCATGGTTTGACGACATCCAAGTTAACTTTCTCCATATCGACCTAGATTAAAACAATAAATTACCAGTAAATCTCAGCTAAATACAACGAAAAATGTCCATAAAGAAAAAGGATTTCAGTATAGTTATTTTTCAACGCACCTTCTGTGCCAAGACATCCTCAAATCTTATGGATTTTAGTAGCTTTTTCTGCTTGTCTCGAAAGCGATTATCCTGTTCTGCACTTGTTCCCTAGAAAGAAAAAATATAGATGTATTTAGATGTTGATGTTTGCAGTAAGTACTCGAAAAGTTAACGAAACAAACTCGATTTTTGCGTACCCTAAAGAACCCCGCATCCGCCATGTTAGTTCCTTCAATGCGCTCAACTTCACGTGGTTGCTACCCATAAGTCCGTAAGACATTCTCAAACAATCAATAGTTGTTCGCTCATGCGTAGATAATTTGTCGGAACTTATCGGTTACTCAAAGAATCATTGTATCCTAGAAGAGTCAATAATTATGCGTAACTCAGTCGGAAACTTTCCGAAAGAATATCGATCGTTAGAAAATCTTGAAGCACATGCAACATGGCGGACGAACTTGCTTCAGAGTTGCAAAAGCGTTTGAAGGAACATTCAACGTATTTTAACTCGCTGGTCCGGCTTGTTCCTCCAAAATTTTATCTCCCCGATGACGAAGAAGAGAAGAGTAAAAAGTTTTACAAAAATCGCGGTAAATCTGCTCCAAAACAAGAAATAAAAGAAGCCTCGAGGAAGGCAAAGAAGAAGCGTTTAGATCCAAGTCAAGCAAAAGATGTAGTTGATCTACAGGAACAAGGAGAAACAGTGAATGATAAGGTCGATGAGAGCGATTCTGAAGATGATAGCAATAATAACAGTAGAGGATTTAGCGTCGAGAAGGTCCCAAGTGGAAAGATTGCGGATTTGCGAGCAAGATTACACGAGAGAATACAAGCCTTACAAGGTAAAAGAAAACCTACATCAGAAAAACACTCAAATCGACCCAAGAAAAAGATGAAGTCTGAGATAAAGAGTGATAAAAAGAAAATCAATCAAATTACACAATCAAAGAAAGATCAGTTACACAAAGAAAAAAACACAGTCACAAATGATAAAGGTGAAGTTGTGTTTAGCAAGTTCGACTTCATGGAACGATCAAAAAACCCTAAGCATGGTAGTAAAATGAGAAATTATAAGAATCTGATTGCAAAAGCAGAAACAAGACAGAAAAAGATAGAAGAATTAAAGGGAAAGGATGAAAGCAAAGCAAGGGAACTAGCAGAAAAGCATGCATGGGAAAGTGCAATGGAAAAAGCCGAAGGAAACAAAGTAAAGGATGACCCAAAACTTTTGAAAAAGAGTCTAAAGCGAAAAGAAAAAATGAAAGCAAAAAGTAAAAAGCAGTGGGATGCAAGGAAAGAACAACAAAATAAACAAATGGAAGAAAAACAAAAACGACGGCAGAAAAACTTGAAAGAACGCGCAGAAGCAAAGAAAGGGAAGAAAGGTGGAAAGGGAAGGAAACATAKACCTGGATTTTAATAAAATGAATGGAATATAAAAATTGAAAATAAATGGAATTTACAGCACATAAATTGTGCTGCAATAAATTGTTGTTGTGAAATTTATATTAGGTCTTTGCGCTCTTTGCTGGTTTCCTAAGATTCAAAATTGACAGCCATGTTTGTGGTTTGAACAGTAGTTGTAGTACGACAAGAATGGCCGTCATTAGATCAACAAAAATCGGCAGTGGAATTTTATCAGACTTAACTGTGAAATAGGAATAATGAGCCATTTTCCTTTCTATTTCAAAATTACTGAAGAAAATTGAACCAGGGGAATAATACATCTTTACTCCGACGAAGGATTAACATCCGAAACGTCAGTAAGTTTTTCCACATACTTTTTTACGGTGTTAAATTTATCTTTTTACATAACTGAATAATACACCCCTTCTCCACAAGCAACTCTTTCCTCTGGGGTTCCAGTCTCAGGGTTCCAGTGACTGATAGGAAAGGCTGGGTTTTAATTCACAGACCAAACAACTACAGTGAACTTTCAGTATGACAATCACAACTTTTAATCAAGTTATTAATGCTCAAATTTACAAGTTTTTTCAATAAATAATTTTAACTGTTCTCAAAGTTAATTTGCTGAACAGTATCATCTTCAAATGACTGACTACTTTGACATGGTGTTCACAACTAATAATTCTATTATAATATTATCTTTGTTATGTCCATTAACCCATGTGTTTAGTGAATGTTCTTTAGTGGGACAATGTGCTTTGGAAATCTACTCGGGGAGAAGATCATCGCCAAGTTCTTCATCACCAAACTCATCTTCTTGTGGTATGTGCCGTTGACGACCTGCTGTTTTAGGTCTTGCAGGTGCTTCACCCAAAGGATCTGAATATGTGGCATCTAAAAGCAAAGTATTGTGGATTTTTATAAATAATTTGACATCCCAACAGCCATTTCTCTCCCTTCAGTATAGTCATACTCACCCACTTCCTTCGGACTACCCAGGGTGTAGGAGTCATCGTTTTCGTTCAGTACACCTCTGTTACGACTACCTTTACCCCCTGCACTACCACCAGAACGACTTGTACCACTATTAATACGACCTGAATCTGAAATGCAGAAAACTTTTGATTAATAAACACTGAAATACTAGTAAGATAAAGTTATTATTCAACCATGCAATCTTGTGCTAAGCAACTACAGGTTGCATCCATTTATCTGTGAAATGACTGCTTTAGTGACTAACTTTAGTGCAATCCTATTTTTAATTTGAAACTTCTTTGAAAAAAGTTATGAAAAGTGGGAACACCACAAAGACATACCACTTCCAGCACTGTTGTTCCTTGATCCAGCAGCACCAGGTCGACTTGCACTTCCCCCTCGACCACTGCCTTTGCGACTACTGCCGCTACTTGCTCTCTGAAAGACAGGAAATATGCCATGTCCATATAAAAAACTTAAAACAACAGTGTTAGGGGGCCATCATGCATTTTATGTGAGATCTTTTAATGATAAAGTGAATAATAAACAGTCTTCTGCCTCAAATAGCAGGTCAAACCTGTTGTTTCAGTTCTCTTGCTTTTTCAGCTTTTTTAAGTTTCTGTGCATACTCCTGTACATCTTTAAGGCCAAGGTCAGTGCAAATACGAACCAAGAATTTCAGGCATTCTACATTCTCAGGAAACTTGTGATGTATGCTGCGATAGGTTTCCAAGGCCTGTTGGTAGTTACCTAGAAACATTGTCAAAACAAAATTAAAAAATATTATACTACACACTGTTCACTAGATTATTTCACATATTGTGTCATTAAATGCTATTTTTATTTATTTTTTATTTTTTGCCTCATTTGTCTATTCATGACCTATTCATTTATTCATTTTGTCATTCATTCATTTGTATGATTACAACTTACCACTTCGTCTATAGCAGCTTGCTATCATCAACTGCCATTTGACCTCATTTGGCCTAATAAAACACAAGAAAAAACTATTAGAAATAGCCTCCCATGCAGCCATTTTTGTGATTCCTGTGTATAAAATTACATGTAATTTCAGGTGGAGAACACCTGGAATACTTTTTGTAATTACCATTCTTATAATCATAACAGACTTACTGTATTATAGCTGCTCTTTCAAAGTAATGGATGGCTTTTTCACAAAACTGAGAATCAATGTAATAAGCTCCAAGCCATGAAATTATGTCGATATTTGATGGAAAGTATCTGTAGGACTAAACATAGAAATTTAAATTAGAATCAAACCAACTAGTGTCATAGCTGGATTTTCTGTTTGATGCTGATATATCTTGCTTCTGGACATATCCCAATGTAACAAGTTTAAAAAATACCTCATAATGATATTGGAAAGCTTGCGATTTATCTTGTTCATTGTCATATATTTCACCCAGTTTGGCCAGTACAAAGGGATCTGTTGGAACTACAGACACTAGTTGCATGTACCACTCTGTTGCTTGATTCATATCCTCAAGTAGCTCATAACTTGATATTTTGTTAAAGAATAAATCACATTTTTCACAACTAATTTTTCAATAGGGAAGCTTAGACTGTGTACATCCTTCGCCACCCCTCCCTTGAGGGGAAAATTAACAGGGGGAAGTGACAGTCTTTAAGGTGCTTAAAGGATACAGGTTTGCCAGTTGGAAGATGACTTGCGGATGATTTCTTAGGATTGCGTGTAATTTAGTAAAACAGTCCAAAGCATCTTCATATTGACCAAGCTTTTTATAAACAAGACCTTAAAAAAATGAAATATTTAATAACACTAAACATATGGAATAATTGATATCACAGCCAATTGAGCTGTAAATGCTAACAAAAAGTATACTAATGCAGCCTCCATTACATTTGTATTTGATATGTAACATAGTGCACTTTGTGTTGTATTCAATATGTTTACCCAGATTGTAAAGTGATTCTGTGCATGTTGCTTCCACGTTATAGGCCTCTTGGTAGAATTCTCTTGCTTTCTCAAACTCTCCTTGAGCATAAAGACAGTTTCCCTTGTTTACAAGAGCTAAAAAAGAATAGTAACATCTGCTAAATAATATGCAATAAATACAGATTGCTTTGTGTTCTAAGAGGAACATCTTCATTTTATTCTCTATACGACGTTGTCACTCTCTAACTTGATTCTTACCTGCTGGGTTGTATCTGTCTGCAGACATGGCAAGTTCGGCATACTTGTCAGCTTGTGTGATGTCATTTTCCTTAATGAATAGGATCAATCATTTAATCATTCGATCAATCAACCACCAATCAATCATTCTGTATCAGCTTACCAGGAAGTAAAGGAAAGACAGGTCTGTTGCTGCAGTTGATTGTACTTTAGAGTCCTTTTTCTCAAAACCTTTTAAGCATTCAACAGCCTTTAAAACAAACAACAAGAATCAGAAACAGTGATACACATAGGAAGCCCAAGGCAGCAACCACAATGAACACACAGGAAGCCCAAGTAAGTTTTATACCTTGTTTAAGTCTTTCTGCTTTAGGTATGTCACTGCCTTAGTGATCTCAAGCTCATTAGCCATCTCCATATAAGGTGAAACCTTGACACAGTCAATACACCTGGGATAATTTGAGAGTGATGCATTTTACAAGTCCTTATATCACAAAGTATTATAATTAATATATTTCTTGCGTGCATACCAATCAAATCCTGCTGCAAAGTTGTTTTCTATTGCTGGGGAGATGAGCTTAGCTGCACTCATTATGTACTTCTCAGCCTGTGTTTTCCTGAAAAATGAATGGTAGAATAAATGAATAAAAGAGGATCTAGTAATATGTGAATTGATGTGAGAATGAAATGGATGAACAAATGGAATGGAATGATGAATGATTGACTGAATGACTGTAAGACTATATGACTGAATCAATGAATGAATAAAAGACTGAATGACTGATTGACTGGATGAATGGATTGTTGGAAAACTTACTTCTTTTTTTCAATCTGTCTGAGTTTATCATTTCTTATGACCTCAAGAATCGTTGTCTGCGCTTTGTCATCCTAAACAATCGGAACTTCTTTCAGTAAACAATGATAATAATGACCAAAACACCTTTTGAAGTCAGAAATAACATTCCTAGAAAATAATCTCTTGAGTGAGGGGATTTTAATCATCCAGTGATCAAAAAATGGTTGCTCTTATTTTGATTGACATGAATACATACAGAGGATGCTGTGTATTTATCTTCATCGTCAATGCCAAGGTCAATCGTCATCAGTTTCTGGAACGTTTTCTTCATCTTGTCTCTATCACCAAGGCCATAGTAACACAGAATAAGATTAAACCCTGTGATATATGAAAAAAAATTATGAGAAACTCTTGTTTAAAATGGTTGTGATATTGAACATATACTAGGCATTAATTATTATCACCTGTGTGGAAGTTAGCTTTCTCAGCCATGATGTGTTCAAATGATGTTACAGCATCACTGTACTGTCCCATTTGAATAAAGGCTATTCCAATGTTCTGCATTATCTTAATCCTAGCAATAACAACATAACATTAGTAATGAATAAAGTTTTTTAATTTATAATTTTTTTTTTTGAATTTTTTCAATTTTTTCAAAAAAATGCTATGTTATATCTGGAATGTACACATAAATATATATGCCGTTAGCAAGCTAACCTCATTTCTTTATGAGTGTTAGGTACTTGATCCAGTGCCATCCGATAATGTTTGATGGCTTGTGGATATTTCTTTTGCTCAAAGTAAATGTTACCCATATTGACTCGTAAGCGCCCTGTACATTAACCACAAAACATTAATTGATTAATGTGGAGCTGTAGATTCATATTGGTTTGTTGGTGCACTAATAATTCATTGTTATTCATTGAATCCATTTCCTTTCAAGTGTAATACTGTACTATATCCTTCCACTCAACTCTAAGGAAAAGAGACTTTCACTGTTTGCTGATAATTTCTCACAGGTTTTTACCATTAAAAGTGCCTTGCAATTTGCATTACTGACCTGCATTGCTAAACATCTTGTTCTTTACAATAACCTGATAAGTATTTAGGGCTTCGTTGTGCATTTTATTAGCATCATACTGATTGGCAAGATTGAACAAAACCTGCAAATATAGTTGAATAATAAGTGGTTTGAATTATTGTCAGATTAGTTCAGACACGCCACCATCCTATTATCATACAAGTAAATAAATCTGGTCATCGAAAAACCAATTATTAATAATATTCTGGTATTATTAACAATAATCTGGTATTTACATACAGAATAAGTGAGGTCAAGATTCATTTGTTCACTGAGGGAGGTTTGTTCTCTTTGACGACATAATGAACGCTCCTTGCGACCGGCTTCTTTTGCTTTCTCCAATGCCTTGAGGCAAAAAATACAACATGAATGTCAATAATTGATAGTCTTAGATCATTGGTTCTAGAACACTTACAAGGGCAAGCTCTCCTTTGTCATTGGCTATACAGCTTTCTTCTATCAACTCATTCACTTTTTTCTCCAGCTGTCTTACTTTTTCCTCAGGACTAAAATATAAAGAAGTATATAATTAATGTTTATTATTAGAATCTGGGAAATATTATACAAAGTATATAATATACTGTAAAGATATTGACTTTTCTAATATACCTATCTTCAGCCTTTTTTTCCAATGGTGGTGCAGGTCCACGTGCTTGATTCAGAGGGTCATACTGACCTGTTGCAGCTACAAGGAACAATACAGTGTTAGAATACATATCTTTATCATTAAAAACTACTAGAAATGCTCAATTGTACCTCGATTTCCACTAGAACTGTACCCAACTGAGCGCACAGCCGTCATTGGTCTAGCCTGCGTTGTATCCTAGGATTACATTGTTATTAGTATGTTATTGCAATATTTGGGATACAATATTATTCAAAAAATTAGGAAGTTGTCCTTTAGTAGCATTATACAATTAAAAAATTTAGTTGATCATGACGATCATAACAGATTGTTTGTCTGAATTCTCAATAGGTTTAACATGATTCATTCTTGTCATTAATACTCACTGCAGCTATGCCAGTGGTTGGCCTTCCCATAGATGAACCAGGAACTTTGCCTCTCTGCAAAAAACACAGAAATACAGTTTGAGCACCTAAGGCCATAACACAGGAAACCCATCTACCAAACCCAACTAGTTACAGTACACCAAGAAATGTAAACTTACTGCTGCTGCAGTTGATAGCTTTCCAGTTTTCTGTATAAAATGAATAATATAATCAAATAATAGTGACAATCAATCTAATAATTAATGATTAACACATGTACATCATTAGACTGAAATTTGAAATATTTTGAACATATTTTTTGGAATATTTGATTTTTAAGAATTTGTTTACCACTCCAGGTCTCTGTCCATGACTGGTCTTTAAAGCTTGCTGAAAAGCTTCATCCTCTTCAAGGTTCTATTTGAATGAAATATGGCAAAGAGAAAGAGTTTGAAATTAAAAATTGTGAAATGAACAAACAAATGACGAAATGAGCTTTGATGATCTATCACATAATGAGCTTAAGCTAACATAAATCAGCAATCGATCGCGGAAATTACAGTCCATTGCAAAATAATGCTTCAAAATGAGATTTTAGTAAACAAAATCTACGATTTTTTTAGTTTCTGACCTCGGTTGCGAAGGCGGGATCATAAACATTGAATCCCCCATAGATATCGTCATCTTCTTCCTCGCCAACTAAGTGCACTGAATTCAGCATATTCCCAGGAACCTGTATACTTCGAAATATGTCAATAAAGGCGACAATAACAGGCCTCTTTGTCGTACTTTTTCTTATTCAAATATTTCAAGCAGTTGCCATAAACAATTTTCACCGTACCCAGGTTACATTGCGGTATGACATCAATCCCATGCTGCAGCGCGGTTAAGGAGGCAAATTCAAAATGGCGGCTGTCAGGGAAGAAAGTTGTTTGCAATGGCTCAAGACGAAATACAACGTTAACGTACGGCAGGAGTGGTTGGAGGCTTGCATTGAATTTCTGAGACAAGAGCACGGGGTATTTTGTATTTCTGACTTATACATTGCTGCGATGTTAGCAAAAAAGCAATTCAAAAACCACCAAACACTGTCAATGTTTCATTCCAGGGAAGATTTAATTCTCAGTCTCATCTAAACGACTTGGTGTATGAGCAGTTATTAATGGCTGACTTTCAAGAAATGAGTCTTGGCTCTTTACCAAATGTATCAGGACAGCTAATGGTTACCCTTCAAGGGAAGCACACTCTACAGGTACGAAGAAACACTGAATTGTATTCAACTCAACCCTTAAATATTCTATATCTACATGGAGCTTGCATGAAAAGTGAATAGCAGGACTTTGACCTCCTCCAGTCACATGATGATAAACAAGAACAGAGCACAGTTCTCTCAGGCATATTTTGCAGGGCCTGTTGTAAATCTAAGATTCATCGAGTTATGTTTAGGAATTGATTAAATTTTTGTGTTGTAGATGAATTCTATCTTAGATGTTGGTCAGTCAGCTTATTCTCAGATACAGAAAATGAAGGGAAAAGATGATCCTGAGACATTGAGAGAAAACAGTGCAAACAAAGACACTGTAAGATATTTACCATTATATAAACAATCACACACACACATAGACATATGCAATACATACACAACAGAGAAATACATATATACAACCCAACAAGCACACAATACATATACATACTGTACACAATACAATACAATACAACAAAACACATACACAACACATTACAATATCTTGTTATTGTTACAAATTAGAGTGCAAACACTAAAACTGTGCACCATATATACCACTAAATACTGCTAAATTATGCTAATTCTATTGATTTCTATATTGTTTAATTAACACTATTTTGTAGTAAATATTGGAAAGTGTTGCACACATTTAATGTTTGTACTCTAAGTGGAATCTGTCTTCTACATAATATATAAGCATCCACTTTTTCAGTGGGAGAAGAAAGTGAAGCCAAGCAGAATGCTGTACCTCCAGTTAAATGATGGATCACAGAGTATACAAGCCATGGAATACCAACTGATTCCTTCTTTAAGGCTTGATATACCTCCAGGCACAAAGGTATGCATGTACATACCTTAGAATATCAGGATGATGCACTTGATAGCAGAGGATAATAATTATTATATCTTACTGACAATTTACTTGATGTTGTCTATCTGTAGGTTCAGATACAAGGCCCTGTTGACTGTAGACTTGGGGTTCTGCTCCTGACGGCCAAAAATATCCACATTCTAGGAGGAACCATTGATGAGCTGGTTGAAACTAACTGTTTGTGGAACATGTTGCACAATGCAATGTAAGAACAATGGATGCTTATTAGGAAGAGAACTACTGTATCATTATATAAAGGAAGGGATTTTTGGGGATGAGTTAGGTGGGGAGAGGGGGTGGGTATGGAGGTATGTTGGAAAAGGGAGTATGAGGGGAGTGGGGGTTCACAGTGTGTTACTTTATCTTGTAGCGGCAAAGAGCCACCTCCACAGCCTGCTGGTGTTAAAGTACAAGAAGCTTTATCACACCAAGAACCTGCTACAGCATCCAATAACTATGAATCCAATGAACCAATAAATAATGTACAGAATACAAGGAATTCAGTTCAAACAGATAACTACAATAAAATAACAAGTAGAAAGAATACAAGACCATCAAATAATCATGGTAATTTTACAAGCAAGCAGCCACAGTCAAGTATTCAACTAAAAATGGAAAATGAAGACTTTGAGCAGTTTGAAGTAGAAAATGATTATTTTGATGATGTTGGTGATGAGAATTTTGATTTTGATCAGCTGGATCAAATGGAGCAAGATGTCGCTTTATCGGAGCCTGATGACTTTGAAGAAAAAGAGGCTCATGACGTGGAGCAGTTTGATGATGGAATGTTTGGTGATGCTGATGAATTGATGGATGATGACCTTGAAGACTTTGACCTTGACACCTCCAAAAGCACTCAAAATCTAAAAACTCCTACTGCAGTATCTAATAAGAGTAATATACAATCTAAGATTGATATAAAAAGACCAAATATACATTTATCCAGTGGAACTAACTCCAACAGTGCAAAACAAGTCAAGTCTCAACCAAACCACGAACAAAAAAGCTTTTCTATTATGATGGGTTCCAGTGCAATCAATATTAATATAAATGCAGCAGGAAATACACTGCCACATCAAGCGGAACTGAATAAACTTCAACGAAGAACAATGTCATTGAGATCACAGCTTGGAACAGCAGTTGATGAGCAAGTTTCAGCAGCACTAGCTGCAGCGGACGCTGCTGTGGCTTCCGCTACTAATAGCATTAATAATACTTTGATAAATATTAATTTTGATAAGCCATCTGTTAAAACTGGTAAAAATAGAGCTACAGTAATAACTAAACCAGCTAACAAACATAAATCAGCTAGTATACTCTCACATCTTGTGCCTCGAACAAAGGAAGCTGAAGAAAATATCACACAGCATAAAAAGATCAAAATTGAAACAAATACTGGTGCAAGCTATCTTGACCAGGAACCATCAAGACCATACCAGTACTTATCTACAGTGATTAGGAATCTACCTGGTAAAGAGGACAAAACTATTAGAATTAAGGTAAGCATGGAAGTGAAAAGAAAATCTATGAAAGACCACTCTTACATACTATCCAATCAAATATGCAGACTGGAACATACCCAAGATTTCAACTTTTACACAATCAGTCTGGGATTTGTACATCCCTTCCCACCCCTCCCTCTGGAGGATTTTTTATTGCAAAGGGGAGGAGGGGTGATGATGGATATAAATGGGCTATAATTTAACCAGGATTTATTGTTGATGTTGCCTTTGCAGGGTTATATATCTACATTGATATCGCATTCTCAAGTATCTGATCTTAACCAGCAATGGAGGGTGACTGTTAAAATCAACGATGGAACAGCAAGTATTGATGCTGATTTAGGTGAACAGGTACATGTATGTCACACAACAGCTAGGGAGTCACATGTATGTCACACAACACCAAGGGAGTCACATGTATGTCACACAACAACTAGTGAGTCACAGGTATGTCATACAACACCAAGAGAGTCACTGTCACACAACACCAAGAGAGTCACAGGCATGTCAAGCAACAGCATGGGTGTCACATGTATGTCACACAATAGCTAGTGAGTCACAGGTATGTCACACAACACTAAGAGAGTCACAGGTATGTCAAACAACAGCATGGGAGTCACAGGTCTGTCATACACCAAAGGGGTAACAGGTTTTTCACACAATACGAATCAAAGGTATCAGAGCTTGTCAAACAACACCAAAATATGATATTCCTAAAGAATAATTACTTTTGTTGTGCTATTATTAGGTTTTGACAGAGCTCCTTGATTGCCCTCTTGCATTGTTTCAGGTAAGCAAGTTAGCTAGCAGGCGTTCCTGCAGGGGCTGAGAAGGAATCGGGAGGAGGAGCATATTTTGTTTAAAATCATACTGAAAAGTCTTTTTAAATTTCAGAGGCAAATGGTAGAAGCAAAAAAAAGTCGTGATCCTTTAAAATGTAGAGCATTACAACAGGTACTTGATGAGATAACTCTGTCAAAACTGTTGTCAGTGTTTTTTTTAATTCCTTTTTTCATCTCTTTTTACAGAAAACTGTATTATTTCAGCAAAAGCTGAGCATGATTTCATGCCTCATGGATTTGCATTTCTCCATGTCACAGCCAAGACCAGTTGTCACAGGTCTTTTTGAAGCTAATGACAAGGACATCCAAAGTCTTTTACAAAGTTTTAAATGAAGTTTATTGCAAGCATTATTTTTCAATATCAAACCTTTATGAAAGCTTATTGAATATTTTGGGATAATTTTTAAATATTGTGAATATATAAGAGTTGATTATAAAAAGGGAAAAAATAGTGAAAAAAATGTGGATGAAATGAAGAGTTGAAACCGCTCCCGCTTGTCATTTTGCTACTCGTTCCCAGTCTACCTCAACCGGTAATTACAACAATCCAGTCTTGTTGAGTGTTGTGGACATAATAAAATGGCGAGAAAATAACAATATTTTACGCCATTCGCTAGCCATTCTCTCTGGTTCTAAGGCAGAGGAATATTCTCTATTGGTTTCTATAATTGGTTAGTCATTTATAAGGATTATTTATAAACAAAAATGAGACTGGACGATGAAATGACAGATGCGGACGACAAGATGGAAGTTAATGGCAGCGAGGATACAGAAATGGTCGACGATGAACCTTCAACAGAGAATGCATCTTGTTGTTTATCGGTAACTAATGTCCCCGATGCTGTTTTTGATGATGAAAATATAAAGGTGAGCTTTTCAATAGGAGAAAACCAGAAAATATCCGCTTATTAAAAAAAATAATGTTTGCGTTGAGAGACTCTTGAGACGTCTTTTACGTCAACAATATTAACTTTTATATTTTTCCGTCTTCCAAAAGAATAGGATTGATGTAATGGCTGATATGCAAACCCACTAAAAATACGATCGAGATAAGTTAGTGTTTTCTTGAATTACAATCACATTAGTGATGTTAGCTTTGGTAGCCCGCTGTCTCTGACAAGCAATCATTCAGTCAATCATCCAAATTGATCAATGTTTAAAGAATACAGGAAGTTTGAAGGTGATAACATTATTGAAATCTTTATCTGTTGGCCGTGAATCAAGGGTATATTGTACGAAAAGTGAAATTTAGAAGAATATACCTGATTACATTAATCTATTTCTGCTTACATTGTGTAGGATTTATAATATGATAGCACTACTAGTTATTCAGAATAATACATGCTAATTAATTACTGATATCTTTTTCCTCTTGCCCTTCAGCAAGAACTTGCTCAATTATTTACTGCTTTTGACGAAGAAGCAAAAGTTTCCTACCTAAAAAGTTTCAGACGAGTGAGAGTTGCCTTCAGAGATGCAGATCATGCCAGTGATGCAAAGATTGTTTTGAATGGCTGTACATATCGAGGCTGTGAACTTGGTGTTTATTTTGTAAAGGTAAGATTAAAATATTCCATAAATTTTGACCAATTAAAATGATATAACATCATGTTATTTCTTTGTTACTTTAAGACACAACCATGCACATCTAGTGGTGAGTCTTCCCAACTCCGACCACCGCCGCTAACCAAGCAATTCCTGATATCACCACCATCATCCCCCCCTGTTGGATGGGAGCAAACACATGAATCACATCCAGTAATTAATTATGATCTCTTACAAGCTATGGCTTCATTAGATAAATCAGAGCCTTATGAACTGCACCCCCCTGATATCAATGCACCTAGCATTGTAGTCCATTTGTGTGATAAAGATGAAGGGATTGATGAACAGGAGGGGGAAGTGTTTCACCCATTAAAAAGCTTACCAAGGGAGGTTGTACAGACAAGAAGACCAAATGCAGAGTAAGCATGGCAGTTGGCGACCATGATAGTGATGTCTTTGGTGTTTTTATAGCAAAAAATGGATAAAAAAGTACAATTGGTTATTGAATAGATATGGTCAATACAAACTATTTTAATATGGGGGTTATATTCCTCGCACTTTTTCAAGTCAGTTAAAATAGTCCTAAGCTGTTTTGCTTTTCCTTTGCAAAAATCATAAGGTAGTTTTGCTGTTTCTTCAAAGAAAACATGAAAGTGGCTTAAAATTAGACAATGTAGCAATACATATTTTCTAGTTTTTCCAAGCCCAACATAAAATATGTTAATTTTTATTCAGCTATAAGCTTGTACAGGCCTCCTGTCCTCAAGCACCCTTAGAGGAACTGGGTAACCTGGTAACTCAGGTTAAAGAATTCTACTTGCATTGGATCCTGTGCTATAAATTGTAGATATTTAAAACTTTTTTTTACACCCAAACACTGTAAGGATAGAGTCGTTCTCATTAACCCGTGGAACAAAGTGTAATAGTAAAGGAGAGACAAAGTGTATGAGGGTGTAATAGTAAAGGAGAGACAAAGTGTATGAGGGTGTAATAGTGCTATTAGTTAAATACTCTGCCCACCACACAAAATTTCAAATTCATATTTATTAAGGACACAACTGCAAAATTGCAATTTCCGCAATTTATTGACTACCCTGCGATTTTCCACGAACGCATTTCTTGACATTTAGAGCGCTTATGTGTTCAAAAGCATTTACAATAGCAAGCACATGGGTCAGTCTTACATGGGTATTGTGTTCTTATACAATAGGAAAAAATTCCTATGCAAATATCTGTGTTACTCGTGAATAAAAGAGCAGAGAAGTTGTAATGAAACGTAGTAAAGAATAAAGTGCTAAGGTGTGTTCCACGGGTTAATGAGAACGACTCTAAATGTGTGAAATGATTAATGTAATTAATAAATAGTATTGATGAGTTAATACCAATGATTGTGAATTAAGGTATTGATGAATTGTATATTAATTTATCTTGACAAAAGTGGTATTTCAAGTGTGTAAAATGGAACAACAATAAACAAACTCTAAATCTATGCTTCAAGAATTCAGGAAAATGGGAAAGAAAGGAAAAAAGAGGGAAATAATGAAAGTGAGAAAAAAATTTGATATCTCTGGGTTTCTAGGATGGTCACTTATGCAATATCAACTACGATAATTAAACATGATACTGAAATTATATAGTATGTTTTTTTTAAAATGCTGTTGAAAATGAAAATGAAAATTTAATATATATATATATATATATATTTTTTATGCTGTTGCACAAAAATATAGCTTAAGTCCTTAAAAATACATGAATTCATTGTGCATTTAAGCTGAATAGCAAAGTTTCTATACAAAATGGTTTATGCATCCTCCTGGTTTAGAAATTTTCCACCAATCATGTGGATAGAAATATCTTTGAATTTCTACTCCGCCATGTGGGATAGATACATTAACTCTACCAAATGGACTGGAATCTAGTGGTAACTTAACAAGGTGAGCAGGGAATACATGAAATTTTCTATAGTTCACAAATGCCAAGTAAGCTTCCACTCCAATTCTATGCATCCATCCATTGTTGTAATAATCTCTGAAAATCATTAAGTCTCCTCTGGCAGAACCTCTTGTTACTCGATAAAAACCAAATCGATATGAATAGTAACAGTTAATATCAAAGGCTTTGAATTTATCTTTGACTTCTTGTTCAGAATATTTGATGATTTCGTTGTAAAAAATTCCAAAATCGAAATCAGTATCCCATGGCAATGGTCCATTATTCCGCAGTCCTCCCCATAGACTACAAAATAAATAATATGCCATAAATATGTTAAGATGACATAACTATAACATAAGCATTGGTATAAAAATATGAACAGTCACAATCATGTGCATTTTTCTAATGTTTACGCACTTCAATTATATGCCGATGGAATTATTGTTATGCATATTACAGTATACGTCATGTCGTGTTTATTATCTCGCAGGCCTGAGTCAACAAGCGATATAAGCTACATAGTATTACTGTCGATAATCCATTAAGCAACTACTTGAAAAGTGACAGACAATAAAGACGTTTATTGTGTGCTAAAATAAACAACCTAACTATTCAAATAGGGACTCTAAATTAGCGAATAACATCAAAGTATCTCAAAACATACCTTCCATAAACAAGAAAATGGTTTATTTTCAATCTATTCAGAACTATGCTGGTATCTTGGGAGAGTGACAGCAAATCCATCATGTCTTTTTTCGATATTTTGCACGGGCCACCGGAATTATTGGTGTACCAGCTAAAATTATGAACGTTAATTTCGTAGTAAATAAAGCCAACAACGATGATTGTAAAGATCGTTGTACGCTTGCAGATAACGGTGCGTTCAGAAGTTCTTGTATTTCTCCAGTTGGGACTGTTTCGGTCGCCCGTGCATCTTGCACTACAAAACCTCAAGCTTTGTAGCATGTTATCGATTAAACTTTCAAATAGGTCAAAATTGAAAGTGATACTGGAACAACAAACACGGCATAACCACGCCACACCACAGGGGTCGCCACAGGATGGCTAAGTAAAAACCACAGGAATCCCACAATGTGAAATTGTAAGCTGGTTCTGTTCTTTGAAAACTCGTGCACCCGTGAACAGAAAAAAGAGTTGGCCAAAGCTGAGTAATGCATCTGGCAGCAGCACATCCTTTGAAAAATGTTGTTTATTATTATATTCATAAATAACTGTGTTTCAAAAATGATTTGATCATCTTATACCATCTGACAGTTCAACATATAAATAGATAATATCTCTAACCTATTTTCACAATTGAAGGGAAAATACATTGTTTTATAAGGCAAGCCTCTTCAGTCTTCTATAATAATGGGCTTCCTGTGTTAGGTCAGTGAGAGACTGGGACTAGTCCCTTTTCCCTAATTTCTCCACAAGAAACACAAACAGAAAAGCATTTCAGAAGAGGCTGCTCTGAACACTATAGGTAGGATTTTAGCAAATGACAAGTTGCCATGACAACATATACATCAATATGTTCCCATATCAACAGGTTTTGCTTGCTCGTCTTTGATAACAACACTAACTCTATCTGACAGACAGCTTTCATTGTCACTATTTTGAGAATCATCTTGAAATGCTTGTAAAAACTGTGTATGTTGATCTTCAAGAAGTGAACTTCGCCTAGTAAGGGCTTCTTCAGGATTATGGCTGAATGATCGACGTAGAAGTCCCCCATCTGGTTGAGAACGTAAAAAGTTTGAATTTCCAGTCATGGGGAATGTTGAGTTCAAATTGTTGGCAGGTGCAGGTGTGGTAGAAACATTATCAGCACGACGGAAACTGTGAGATCTTATAGTGGTAACATTGGAACCAGCTTTTATGCTTCTCTTGATGGCCTCTTTGATACTCTTGACTGCTTCTCGTTGTTCAGCTGCAGTTCTAAGAAGAAGAAAAAGTACAAAAAATAATGAATGAATGAAATGAATGGATAAATAAACAAGTGAATGAATGAAAGGGTCCAACGAGGCTGTAGCAATGAGTTTTAGAATGATCTGCTAATTTGAAAGGAATAAAATGAAAAAAAGAATGAAGAAAAATGAATGAAAAGATATAATAAAATAAATGCTTACTTGCTAGCAAACAGATAGGCACATTCCTGACGACCAAGTTCTGTAGTATCACTAATGTTAACTAATTCCCATGAATGAAGAGTTTCTATCAAAAACAAATTACTTATTATAGCCTGATGTAAAATTACAAATTATGAAAAATGAATAAGATAAGGTAAGGAGATAAACAAGATAAAAAATGGCCTAACATACCTCCTGTTGCCCATCGATGGTCCCTTAATACTAACGATGTCACTGGTATTAATGTTTTAAACTTAATTTCTTCACTAGTCTTGAGAGATGAGCTCTGTGAAGTACAAATGGGACAATTAGAAACAAATGAATGGATGTAAAACTGGATGGAGGAAGGGAGAGAGAATTGGAAGTTCTGATAAATAAAGTGAATGAATGAACAAATAAAGAAACAGATGGCTGGGTGAGTGACAATTAATCATAGACAGATGCATATTATCTAGCCATTACCTTTTCTTTCTTGCGAGATTTTGATTCCAAATGGATTAAAATGACAACTTTTTCAAACACTGAAAATATAATAAGTAATAATAATATCTTATATATCTTAATATCTAAGTCAAACAATTGCACAATTTTAAATTCATGCAGTCTCCAAGTGATTTAAAAACTAACCAAAAATATGCATGGTAGAATGAGTAGTTTTCTTATGTATCCTAGGTGATGCTGGATACTTTAATTTAAGGGTTCCACTTCTTGGCTCATCTGGACAATTTAACCAAGTTGCTTTCCCATGATGCAGTAGTCTGTCAATAGTGACATCAGAAACCTACACATGAAAAAAATGAGAAAAATGTTCATAATGAAATGATGCAAGAGCTTCAAATTTCAAAGCCAATTGAAACCACTGTAATTTGGGCTTCTGCATGAACAATAATAAATGCTCACTAGCAAATTTCTATTCTTAATTGTCACAATACCACATTGATAAGACAATGACAATAATGCTTTACCTCCACCATTCCATACTCTCCTACAATTTGGTTGAACAGTGGTGCAAACCGTTCTGTGATTCGCTGCATTTCATTTATGTGTGTTGCAACCTTTTCAACAGCCACCACAGCCTCTGAAGTACAATTGATACAAATATTTTAGTGGTATAGAGCAAGGACAACCCATAAAAAAAGTCAATTAATATACATAATATACATCAACCAGTCAAGGTGAAAATAATTTTAAAATGTTATACATGTACAACTCCCAAAGACAATACATGTGCTTACCTAAAAGAACTTCATGTTCTTCTGATTTCTTGTCAAGTGCTTTTAATATAGTTCTCATCAGTAAGGGATAGCGAAGGATTCTCTACAGAAACCAGATTAACAATAGATTTAGCTAGTCCTTTCAATATAATTCTCTGTTTATAAAATGCTACAAAGTATGAACAAAAAATTTTATCACAAAAGCCTGGTTTCTACTAAAGCACTTCTTGACTAACCTGTATGGGTTTAATCAAATAAGATTCAAGTGTCCCAGAATGCTGATTCTTTGGATTTCTTGCATTCAAAAAATTTCTAAGATCTTCGTTTTGTCCTTTTGAATAATTAACAATCAATGTATTAGTTATGAGTACTGTGCTCTATCCTATGTCTTAAATAAAGACCATAGTCGGTGGTACCTGTGCTAAGAAGCTCTACAAGACGGGAATGACTGGAACAAAATGCGCTGTAAAGTTTGAAGTGTTCAGTGTAGTTCAAAAATGTCTCTCCTATAGTATAGATTACATTCTGTGTGGAGAATCAAAGCAAATATCAATGTTAGGCAAACTAAAGACTTGCATGTATCTTCCTTTTCATCATTTCTTTATGATTATACATAAAGATGTAAAAGCATGAGTTTTTAACCTTGTCAAATTAATCATTATATGCAACCATTAAAACAACTTGATATACCTGGAACTTTGAGATTTCATCAAATTCTTCAAAACCAGCCTCGGATTCAATGGCTTTCTTCAACTCCTGGAAAAATGTCTTTTGAAAGTCAAGGATTTCATCGACTGTCCCAACTAGTGCCTTCACCTCAGACTGTGACATGAAACTTTCATCTTTAAGTGGATCTAGATATCTGTTTAATAGCAGCTTTAAGTCCTGTAACGCAAAATAAAGACGATATTGTACTGTGTTCTGCCTTAGTGAGTAGATTTAAGCTATTATCCTAACCTTCACATAGGAGCGTTCTGTGTCTAATAATTCAATTATAACTTTACGTAGCTTGTCTGCTTCTGTTAAATGTATATTGGGTCTTGATTCATCGTCACTGTATTCCAACTGCTGTCGGCAGAATATAGTTACTTGCTCAGCTTGCTATGGAAAAAGAACAACGTTTTATATCATTATAATACTCACATAATATCGCCTTAAGGACAATAACACTATTGGTAACTGTACTGTATTGCACTAACTGCAAGTTGAATGATACAATACTCACCTGTAGAAGTTCATCTACTGTCTTGTGTTCTGTTGGAGGCGTCTCTGGTGCTTCAGGAGTGTGAATAGAGCTACAGGTTTCACCATCGTCCAACACTGTTTGACAGAATGTTAACTAATTGTCAACAATTAATTATGACTCTCTTAATTGTACTAGAGATGACTGTTCTTGAATGGGTGGCTGACTGACTGACTAGCTGACTTACTGACTGACTGACTGACTGGATATTATGGAGGGTCATGGGTTCAAGTCCCATATCGGATGGCTTAATACTTTAGGAGGTCCTTTTTGAAAACCATTTCTTTGTAATTGAAAAAGTTTCCTCAATAAAGATTATTATTATAGTAATTTATGAAAAATTGACAGAATGCCTGAAGTACTGAATACGTGAATGACTAATTTCCTGAATGACTAAATGACTGACTGTTGCATGACAGATTGATTGATTGTTTGTACTCACTGGCGGGTGGAGGGACAATCATATCCACTAACTCTGTATCTTCAATGTTGTCACTGAAAAAAATGAAAACAAAAAACATGACAAAAGAACATAAAAATGCAGCATCTTTCTTCAGCTGGATGCATCTCTTTTATTATGTTGATGTCTCACATTCTAACAAAACATGTATTTAATGTTTACCTTAGTTTAGGTGGAGGTTTGATGACAAGAGAGGATATAATGGCATCTGACGTCACTTTGTGGGCAACAGGAGGCTCATCACGCGGTGATTGAAGCTCTAGCTTGATACATGAATCTTAAAAAGGATGGAAAAAATGGAAAAATTAATAAAGAAAGAATGGGAGGATTTACACAAATTGATCAGTCCAACAGACCACAGTCTAAACGGGCCTTGCAACAGTTGATATTCATAAACCCACCTTGTAACGCTTCTTGTAGATCCCCCAAGGGATTGGTTTCCACGTCGCCAACTGGTACATCATTAACGGCAAGAATTTCATCTCCTGCTAGTACACCTGGGAAATAAAGGAATAAAAACAGATGTCTCACTGACTTGTTCTTTAACATGAGAAAAGGGAAAGAAGCAAATCAGGATTGAATGTTTAATCACCTTGCACATGCGCAAGACGACCCTTCTCAACTCGACTGATATATATCATGCCATCCTTGCTAGCAACAGAGAGACCTGATAACAAAAGTCAAAGAAAATGGAATTAATTGAACAAATAAATAAAGGATAAATGGATCAATTCCTACCAAAATCAAGTCCATCAACTTCTAGTGACTTTGTAAGTTCAACTTTGTAGATGCACTTCTGACACAGTTTAAGGTGAGTATAATTCTATTAAAGAATAAATAATTGCATTGTATCATTAAAAGGTTGCGTCAGCAAAACAAATTGTCGCATATTGTGCAGTATACCTGGTCTTCAAGGAGTGAGTCCTGCTTTGGAATAAAATAATCTACGCAACAAATAAGTTCTAATTAGTAAGTATGAGAATAATTGTAAGGCTGTCTCGTTTATACCATACAACTATTAGTCCATTTTAGCTAAATATCTTATAGTTTAAATACCTATTGTCCCATCCTCTTCCTGTAGTCCTAGTTTCAGGAAATAAGTATGAGGATCAAGTTGTCTTTTTTCGCATGTGTTGACAACAACATCCTGTACTGTCATCTCGTTACCAAGTGCAATAACAGTACTTTGGTTGCTAGGGAGGCTTATGCGTAAATAGTTGCCAAGGCTACGCCATTCTGAGTGACTTGAGCTAAGTGACCTTGCCTCCGACTGCTCTTCTTCACTATCAGGTATAATTTCAAGATTTGATCTATGACACAGGAAGACCAACATTAGATTAATCTTGTTTCCATCACAACAAGCTCATATCAAATAGGCATTTGTACCTTTTAAAAGTTTTGGGTGTTTTAGGCCCATTCTTGTTGGCATATCGATCACGTATAGACTTTACACTTGATGCATCATTAATACGTAAGGACGTGAATATGGCACTTTTGATCTTGTTGTAACCAATGTTGCTTGGGGATCGTTTTGCTTTGCTTCTTGCTTTAACTTCCTCTTCTACAAAAAAAAAATAAATTGTTAAAAAATTCATAAAATTATCAACATTTGTGATAAATATATATAGGTGATAAAATTACAGGCAATAATGAATAAATAATCATCAATTGATATTGTTA